TTTCAATGACTGTAATAAAAAAGACAGAGTTTGGTGACGTTTTGAGGTAACGTGGGATCATGGGCGTTGTAGTCTTCACCTGCATTGCAGTCAGCTTTCCCCAGTTGAGATTATTTTCATTTTAATTGATTAGGGCGATTTATCGGGAGCCACATTTATTTTCAACTGAGGTCTCTCACTTCTCTTCAGAACTAATGGACCAAGTGAATGATCCGATAAAATGTATGTAGTGTCTACTTAAAAAAGTCCTCTCCTGCTGATGTTCAGGTGTATATCAGTATGTAGTGTCTCTACTTTAAAGAGTCCTCTCCTGCTGATGTTCAGGTGTATATCAGTATGTAGTGTCTGTACTTTAAAGAGTCCTCTCCTGCTGATGTTCAGGTGTATATCAGTGTGTAGTGTCTCTACTTTAAAGAGTCCTCTCCTGCTGATGTTCAGGTGTATATCAGTATGTAGTGTCTCTACTTTAAAGAGTCCTCTCCTGCTGATGTTCAGGTGTATATCAGTATGTAGTGTCTCTACTTTAAAGAGTCCTCTCCTGCTGATGTTCAGGTGTATATCAGTATGTAGTGTCTCTCTCTTTAAAGTAGAGACCTCTCCTGCTGATGTTTCAGGGTGTATATAGTATGTAGTGTCTCTACTTTAAAGAGTCCTCTCCTGGCTGATGTTCAGGTGATATCAGTGTGTAGAGTCTCTACTTTAAAGAGTGCTCTCCTGCTGATGTTCAGGTGTATATCAGTATGTAGTGTCTCTACTTTAAAGAGTCCTCTCCTGCTGATGTTCAGGTGTATATCAGTATGTAGTGTCTCTACTTTAAAGAGTCCTCTCCTGCTGATGGTCAGGTGTATATCAGTATGTAGGGTCTCTACTTTAAAGAGTCCCTCTCTGCTGATGTTCAGGTGTATATCAGTATGTAGTGTCTCTACTTTAAGAGTCCTCTCCCGATGGTCAGGTTGTATATCAGTATGTAGGGTCTCTACTTTAAAGAGTCCTCTCCTGCTGATGTTCAGGTGTATATCAGTATGTAGTGTCTCTACTTCAAAAGAGTCCTCTCCTGCTGATGGTCAGGTGTATATCAGTATGTATTGTCTCTACTTTAAAGAGTCCTCTCCTGCTGATGTTCAGGTGTATATCAGTATGTAGTGTCCTCTACTTTAAAGATATCCTCTCCTGCTGATGTTCAGGTGTATATCAGTATGTAGTGTCTCTACTTTAAAGAGTCCTCTCCTGCTGATGTTCAGGTGTATATCAGTATGTAGTGCCTCTACTTTAAAGAGTCCTCTCCTGCTGATGTTCAGGGTGTATATCAGTATGTAGTGTCTCTACTTTAAAGAGTCCTCTCCTGCTGATGTTCAGGTGTATATCAGTATGTAGTGTCTCTACTTTAAAGAGTCCTCTCCTGCTGATGTTCAGGTGTATATCAGTATGTAGTGTCCTCTACTTTAAAGAGTCCTGTCCTGCTGATGTTCAGGTGATATCAGTATGTAGTGTCTCTACTTTAAAGAGTCCTCTCCTGCTGAGTTCAGGTGTAATCAGTATGTAGTGTCTCTACACATTAAAGAGTCCTCATCCTGCTGAGGTTCAGGTGTATATCAGTATGTAGTGTCTCTACTTAAAGAGTCCTCTCCTGCTGATGTTCAGGTGGATATCAGTATGTAGTGTCTCTACTTTAAAGAGTCCTCTCCTGCTGATGGTCAGGTGTATATCAGTGTGTAGTGGTCTCTACTTTAAGAGTCCTCTCCTGCTGATGTTCAGGTGTATATCAGCATGGTAGTGTCTCTACTTTAAAGAGTCCTCTCCTGCTGTTGGTCAGGTGGATATCGTATGTAGTGTCTCTACTTTAAAGAGTCCTCTCCTGCTGATGTTCAGGTGTATATCAGTATGTAGTGTCTCTACTTTAAAGAGTCCTCTCCTGCTGATGTTCAGGTGTATATCAGTATGTAGTGTCTCTACTTTAAAGAGTCCTGTCCTGCTGATGTTCAGGTGTATATCAGTATGTAGTATGTCTCTACTTTAAAGAGTCCTCTCCCTGCTGAAGTTCAGGTGTATATCAGTATGTAGTGTCTCTACATTAAAGAGTCCTCTCCTGCTGATGTTCAGGTGTATATCAGTATGTAGTGTCTCTACTTTAAAGAGTCCTCTCCTGCTGATGTTCAGGTGTATATCAGTATGTAGTGTCTCTACTTTAAAGAGTCCTCTCCTGCTGATGGTCAGGTGTATATCAGTGTGTAGTGTCTCTACTTTAAAGAGTCCTCTCCTGCTGATGTTCAGGTGTATATCAGCATGTAGTGTCTCTACTTTAAAGAGTCCTCTCCTGCTGATGGTCAGGTGTATATCAGTATGTAGTGTCTCTACTTTAAAGAGTCCTCTACTGCTGATGTTCAGGTGTATATCAGTATGTAGTGTCTCTACTTTAAAGAGTCCATCTCCTGCTGATGTTCAGGTGTATATCAGCATGTAGTGTCTCTACTTTAAAGAGTCCTCTCCTGCTGATGTTCAGGTGTATATCAGCATGTAGTGTCTCTACTTTAAAGAGTCCTCTCCTGCTGATGGTCAGTGGTATATCAGTATGTAGTGTCTCTACTTTAAAGAGTCCTCTCCTGCTGATGGTCAGGTGTATATCAGTATGTAGTGTCTCTACTTTAAAGAGTCCTCTCCTGCTGAAGTTCAGGTGTATATCAGTATGTAGTGTCTCTACTTTAAAGAGTCCTCTCCTGCTGAAGTTCAGGTGTATATCAGTATGTAGTGTCTCTACTTTAAAGAGTCCTCTCCTGCTGAAGTTCAGGTGTATATCAGTATGTAGTGTCTCTACTTTAAAAAGAGTCCTCTCCTGCTGAAGTTCAGGTGTATATCAGTATGTAATGTCTCTACTTTAAAGAGTCCTCTCCTGCTGAAGTTCAGGTGTATATCAGTATGTAGTGTCTCTACTTTAAAGAGTCCTCTCCTGCTGAAGTTCAGGTGTATATCAGTATGTAGTGTCTCTACTTTAAAGAGTCATCTCCTGCTGAAGTTCAGGTGTATATCAGAAGTAAACAAAGTGACTAAAACCTCTCTAACACAGGAAAGTGAAATAAAAGGGATCATCATCCTGCACTCCAAGCGCCATTGACAGCTTTATTGAACACTAAGCATCCTCAAAGTGCTGATGACAAACCAAGTCTTGTTTTAATTGCACAGAACACTGAGCCTACATGTGATCACTGAAGAATGAATGAGTGAACATAACGAGCCGTTAGTGTCCTGGGTGGGAAGAACAAATCATGGTGCTGTTCTTCAAGTACGCTGACAATAAAGCAGAGCAAAAGATTTTCCTTTGACACTTCAACACTTGTTTGAATCAACATCGATTGAGTGTTTTTTTCATGATCCATTCCAAGAGTGCTCTGCTCAAATCCACATCCACCTTCCTTAAAATGAAGACAGTAATTTTTAACATACAGTGTATTCAACAAGATCTCTTTACATCCACACAAAGAGCCAGTACAGTAAAGCCTAATGACAGGGTGCTGTTAATGTATCCGTTTATAGTACAAGCAAAAAGGACAGTGGGTGTTCCTGCACGTCGCCTACGAAGCACACTCACGAGTCACACAAAACGAAAACTGGGAATAGGCACTTCTGTTTTTTTCTTTTTTGTGTTTTCATCAAATCTCTTCCTCATTTTCTTCAGCCAAGCACACGGCTCTGTGTTAAGAGCATCATATTAATTTAAGCTAAATTAATAAGTTAAACAATTTCAGGTCACGATGATTCACCAACAGGACGAGGGACGGATGCAGGACACGTAAGAAACACAAGATGGGCAGAATCTCTCCTTTTTAAATCCTCCTGCCTTTCATTCCTTCCCCAATACATCTTTTATCTAATGCCAATAACTTCATCCGGGCAGAGATGGACTCACACATTCCATGCTGTTACACTTAGCCCCATCACTTAGTGTAATGATACAACAAGTAAGATTTAAATGGGACCCCAAAATCAAAAACACATTTTCCATTTGACCTGTAGTGCAATTCATCCATTCAGATTCCTTTTAGCTTCATGACCTAGTTTCTTAAAATAGTCCACAGACCATTTTGTGAGCAGTTTCAAGCAGGAGCTATTTTCATTTTACCAAACTAAACCAATAAGGAAGAAGCAGCCTCTCAAAGAGTACGTGCACGCTTCTTCTTTGCACGGTGATAGGGTCGGCAGATCCTAAATGAAACTGCTTGAATAACTTGGGCATGATTTCTGGATAGAGACAGTTTTGAAGTATCTGAAAAAGTGTTATTTTGGGGGTGGACTGTTCCTTAAAGCTTTGTATTAACTACAGGGACAGTAAGGATTGTATTGGATGCAATATGACTTTCTTTCAGTGTGAGGGATTGGTTCTTTGCTACAGGTAAGTCATTAGTTAAACATTAAAGTCATGTGACTACACACACACACACACTCCAGCTCAAGTCCTATATAGTTGCTGCAAAGAGCTCCAGAGTTCTTCACACTTCTTCTCAAGCAAACCCAAAATGTTTCAGGACACGGCACTTCAGCGATCTCTAGTTAAGCAAGCAGTCTGTGGGACCACAATGTATCAAACATGATGTGGAATCAGCCGTCTTAAGTGTGAGGGACGAGAGGAGGAAGGAGAGCCTTTGTCCAAACACGGGACAATAAATATGTACAGATGGATTTATGTTGGGCAAAGTGTGCCCGGCGACACCAGGGAAGGTCAGGCAGGATTTACCACACTATGGTATCATTCCAGGGCTACAATATGTGTCGCTATACACAGCAGGATGTGGGTCACTAGGAGGAGGCAAAGCAAGCGTTGCACAGCGCTGAAGAAGACGAAGATAAGCAGTCTCATCCTAACAGTTTGGCTTCCTTGTTTTGGCCCTTTTTTAATTCCTCCTTTCCTTTTTTGGGTGCTGCTTGTTTGTGCATTTTTGAAACGATGCAAGAAGAAATCACAATTAGTGCTAAATACTACAACAGGCTTTCACTGTCTTCTTATATCTCCCTCCTCTCAGTCCAACCTCCCCTCTCCAAATCTCAGTGAGTGGGTCACAACTCCTCCGACTCTTCCTTTCCTCGTTTCCTCTCCTTCAGTTTCTGTCTGGAGGATGAATGGATGGGTGAGGGAAGTGGATTTTCTCCGCTTCAGTTCCCCCTGTTTGTTGGTGGAAGGAGACAGGATGGTTTCAGGGTGGAGGTGGTGTGGAGGGTGGGGCTCAGACTCGTGGGGGTTTAGTTCCCCCCGCAGCAGGCTCGGTTGGAGTGGGCGTCCGGATCCTGGAGGTTCACGCCCCGGTGTCGCGCTGCATGTGTGGGGTTCTGGGTGTCTGTTTTTGGCATCTTTTTTGCTGCATTAGGACAGAAATGTGTTGACATAGAAACCAAAATTAACACCAGACTCAGGCTTTGTTGCTAGAAAGTAACTAACCCAATACTCATTCATGAAAAATTGACAAAAAGGTTTGCAACTTGGTTTTGCAGGTTTGTGTTGGCATAGAAACCAAAATTAACAATTTTGGCTTATTTTTTGCTTTAATAGACTAAGCAGTGTTTTGACATACAAACCTTTGGTTTAAAGAGTCCTCTCCTGCTGATGTTCAGGTGTATATCAGTATGTAGTGTCTCTACTTTAAAGAGTCCTCTCCTGCTGATGTTCAGGTGTATATCAGTATGTAGTGTCTCTACTTTAAAGAGTCCTCTCCTGCTGATGTTCAGGTGTATATCAGTATGTAGTTGTCTCTACTTTAAAGAGTCCTCTCCTGCTGATGTTCAGGTGTATATCAGTATGTAGTGTCTCTACTTTAAAGAGTCCTCTCCTGCTGATGTTCAGGTGTATATCAGTATGTAGTGTCTCTACTTTAAAGAGTCCTCTCCTGCTGATGTTCAGGTGTATATCAGTATGTAGTGTCTCTACTTTAAAGAGTCCTCTCCTGCTGATGTTCAGGTGTATATCAGTATGTAGTGTCTCTACTTTAAAGAGTCCTCTCCTGCTGATGTTCAGGTTGTATATCAGTATGTACTGTCTCTACTTTAAAGAGTCCTCTTCCTGCTGATGTTCAGGTGTATATCAGTATGTAGTGTGTCTACTTTAAAGAGGTCCTCTCCTGCTGATGTTTCAGGTGTATATCAGTATGTAGTGTCTCTACTTTAAAGAGTCCTCTCCTGCTGATGTTCAGGTGTATATCAGTATGTAGTGTCTCTACTTTAAAGAGTCCTCTCCTGCTGATGTCAGGTGTATATCAGTATGTAGTGCCTCTACTTTAAGAGTCCTCTCCTGCTGATGTTCAGGTGTATATCAGTATGTAGTGTCTACTTTAAAGAGTCCTCTCCTGCTGATGTTCAGGTGTATATCAGTATGTAGTGTCTCTACTTTAAAGAGTCCTCTCCTGCTGATGTTCAGGTGTATATCAGTATGTAGTGTCTCTACTTTAAAGAGTCCTCTCCTGCTGATGTTCAGGTGTATATCAGTATGTAGTGTCTCTACTTTAAAGAGTCCTCTCCTGCTGATGTTCAGGTGTATATCAGTATGTAGTGTCTCTACTTTAAAGAGTCCTCTCCTGCTGATGTTCAGGTGTATATCAGTATGTAGTGTCTCTACTTTAAAGAGTCCTCTCCTGCTGATGTTCAGGTGTATATCAGTATGTAGTGTCTCTACTTTAAAGAGTCCTCTCCTGCTGATGTTCAGGTGTATATCAGTATGTAGTGTCTCTACTTTAAAGAGTCCTCTCCTGCTGATGTTCAGGTGTATATCAGTATGTACTGTCTCTACTTTAAAGAGTCCTCTCCTGCTGATGTTCAGGTGTATATCAGTATGTAGTGTGTCTACTTTAAAGAGTCCTCTCCTGCTGATGTTCAGGTGTATATCAGTATGTAGTGTCTCTACTTTAAAGAGTCCTCTCCTGCTGATGTTCAGGTGTATATCAGTATGTAGTGTCTCTACTTTAAAGAGTCCTCTCCTGCTGATGTTCAGGTGTATATCAGTATGTAGTGCCTCTACTTTAAAGAGTCCTCTCCTGCTGATGTTCAGGTGTATATCAGTATGTAGTGTCTACTTTAAAGAGTCCTCTCCTGCTGATGTTCAGGTGTATATCAGTATGTAGTGTCTCTACTTTAAAGAGTCCTCTCCTGCTGATGTTCAGGTGTATATCAGTATGTAGTGTCTCTACTTTAAAGAGTCCTCTCCTGCTGATGTTCAGGTGTATATCAGTATGTAGTGTCTCTACTTTAAAGAGTCCTCTCCTGCTGATGTTCAGGTGTATATCAGTATGTAATGTCTCTACTTTAAAGAGTCCTCTCCTGCTGATGTTCAGGTGTATATCAGTATGTAGTTGTCTCTACTTTAAAGAGTCCTCTCCTGCTGATGTTCAGGTGTATATCAGTATGTAGTGTCTCTACTTTAAAGAGTCCTCTCCTGCTGATGTTCAGGTGTATATCAGTATGTAGTGTCTCTACTTTAAAGAGTCCTCTCCTGCTGATGTTCAGGTGTATATCAGTATGTAGTGTCTCTACTTTAAAGAGTCCTCTCCTGCTGATGTTCAGGTGTATATCAGTATGTAGTGTCTCTACTTTAAAGAGTCCTCTCCTGCTGATGTTCAGGTGTATATCAGTATGTAGTGTCTCTACTTTAAAGAGTCCTCTCCTGCTGATGTTCAGGTGTATATCAGTATGTAGTGTCTCTACTTTAAAGAGTGCTCTCCTGCTGATGTTCAGGTGTATATCAGTATGTAGTGTCTCTACTTTAAAGAGTCCTCTCCTGCTGATGTTCAGGTGTATATCAGTATGTAGTGTCTCTACTTTAAAGAGTCCTCCCCTTTGTCAAAATAACCAACAGAGTCACTTCACAAACTAACAATAATAATAATAATGTCATAATAATGTCAATATCTATTTTCTTGGTTTCACGAGCTTGGTTGTGCACCTTTGCTTTTTGGTAACTATTAAAAATCATTTTTTAAGTATTTTTACAATCAACAAGTCTCGTGTAAATGACAGGCCACTCACCAATAGCCAGGAAGAGCTCATTGACGTTCATGGCTGTTTTAGCAGAGGTCTCCATGAAGAGCAAGCCAGTGTCTTCAGCGTACGTCTGGGCGTCCTTTTTCATACAACACACACACAAATGCAGATATAAAGTCAGTTTAAACACTTACAAAACCTGAAGCTGAAAAAATAAAATGTTTCTTATCGACACAAAGCTCTGACTTGTGCCTCAAATGCAGTTTCTGTTTTTAAGCAGCCAGGCAGACGCTGACTCTTACGGACTGTATCACCTGTATTTTAATGCAGCCAATTAGGTATAGTAAAACAAAGGTTTGTGCCCTGTTTCTCTTATCTTGTTGTTTAATTGTAACAACCTGGACACCACCCTCTCTTTCCAGGCGCACGTCAAATCTGTCACCAAATCCGCCTTCTATCACCTAAAAAACATTGCCAGAATCCGGCCTTCTCTCTCTGACGCTGTGGCAGGAAACCCTTGTACACGCCTTCATTACATCCCGTCTGGACTATTGCAATGGAGTCCTGTCCGGGGTTCCCAGCAAAAACCCTGGATAGGCTCCAATACGTCCAGAACTCTGCCGCCAGGCTTCTCACCCCACACCAAGCCATGGCAACATCTCACCCCCACCCTCATCCACCTACACTTGGCTGCCGGTCAAGTCCCGGATTCAATACAAAACACTCATCCTCACGTACAAGTCCCTCCATTCCCTAGCCCCCCAGTACTTATCGACCTCCTCCATCCCTACACCCCCTCTCGGAGTCTGCGGTCCTCAGCACACGGGCCTGCTCTCCATCCCCCCGCTCTCGCCTCCGAACTGTTGCTGACAGGGCATTCAGTGCTGCGGCCCCCACCCTCTGGAATGCACTTCCTGCCAAGATCCGTAATGCTGCCTCCCTGGAAATCTTCAAATCATCACTAAAAACACACCTGTTCACCCTGGCCTTCGGGCCCTAGCCCTTTTCTGGTCCACCGGCTTCCTTTAGTTATTTCTTTGGTTTGCCCCGTTGATTGTTTTGTTTGTCCACCATGTACAGCGACCATGGGTCCCTTGAAAGGCGCTATATAAATATCATTTATTATTATTATTATTATTATTATTAAACAGAAGCTATCATAGACAGGCAAAGGACAAATTGAGCATATATTGTCACAATATTATCCCAAAAATGGTTAGAAAATATGGGTAAAAAAAGGTTTGAAATGGCCATAAACCTACAGGACTGACTTGACCTTACATTTTGTTAAGAAAACACATTTATATATGTCTAGAGGTCCATACAGTCTATGGTTCATAAAGAGGGACTTTAAGTTTAAAAAGGAGATCTAACCCAGTTGCAGAATTGCAAAGTGAAAGCCAGGCTTAAAGGGAACCAATCCAAACGCTGACTGGTGTCATTATTCTACAGCCATGACATTGTGTAATCAACATATTCTTCATTATGAATATATTTTTAAAAAGTGATCTTTGGCGCTTTAAATCAGGGTATTTTTTATATTTATGAGGATATTCACCAAACATGACGGGAGCTTGTTACCCTCGTACTCCACTAGTCTCCTCTCTGCCAGGTCCGCCTTGTTCCCAGCCAGAGCGATCACGATGTTGGGACTGGCCTGCCTCTGCAGCTCCTTCACCCAGGCCTTCGCTCGCTCAAAGGTGTCCTAAACACACGGCAGGAGGTCAGAGAAACTACCAACACACAGGTAAACACCATGTACAGAAGACAGAGGTCAGAGAAACTACCAACACAGGTAAACACCAGGTACAGAGGTCAGAGAAACTACCAACACAGGTAAACACCAGGTACAGAGGACAGAGGTCAGATAAACTACAACACACAGGTAAACACTACAGAGGACAGAGGTCAGAGAAACTACCAACACACAGGTAAACACCAGGTACAGAAGACAGAGGTCAGAGAAACTACCAACACAGGTAAACACCAGGTACAGAAGACAGAGGTCAGATAAACTACAACACACAGGTAAACACTACAGAGGACAGAGGTCAGAGAAACTACCAACACAGGTAAACACCAGGTACAGAGGACAGAGGTCAGATAAACTACAACACACAGGTAAACACTACAGAGGACAGAGGTCAGAGAAACTACCAACATACAGGTAAACACCAGGTACAGAAGACAGAGGTCAGAGAAACTACAACACACAGGTAAACACTACAGAGGACAGAGGTCAGAGAAACCAACACAGGTAAACACCAGGTACAGAGGACAGAGGTCAGAGAAACTACCAACACAGGTAAACACCAGGTACAGAGGTCAGAGAAACTACCAACACAGGTAAACACCAGGTACAGAGGACAGAGGTCAGAGAAACTACCAACATACAGGTAAACGCCAGAGGCCTGTACTACGAAGCCGGATGTTCTCTTAGCGGCTAACTTCAGGGAAAACTCGGGGTTTCCGGTCCTACGACGCTGGTTCTCTTTTTAGCAGGCTAGATCTCCATGGCAACTTATGCTGAGCGGCTAACCTGGTCGGGACCAGGTTAGGTTGCAGGCTAAGAGATCAACTCAGTGAAAGCACCGCCTGCTGACCAATCAGAGCTCAGTGTGCGGAGTTTAAAGCGATCAAGTCATATTACAGGAGAAAGGAAATACAGAAAAGCTGCCGTCGCAGGAAAGACGGCCGGTAAAAATCACCGACTGTGTGAGCGTGAACATTAATAGAATATCACCTCCATCTTCAGAGCAATCTGACTATTATAACATTAGCGTTAAGAAAGCTTACTTAAATATCTGCCACAACATAAGTAACCGGATCAGAGTAACATTAAGTACAGTCCGCGGCATATCATTTCATAATGTATCATATTTCCTGATCTGAGTCAGCTGAGCCGTATCTGGCCGTGCAACACTCACAGTGTCACAGACTGTATGCAGAAGTATTATTTTAAGCAACACATTAAGTTGACGAAACACTCGAGTCAAATGTAATGAAAGTCAGATCGTGTTTTAGACGGGGCAGTGATATCATAAACCTGTTAATGTACGCATTCAAACACTTGTTCTGTTCCCAGCTGTATTCACCTTGCAGGTGCAGCTCTGTGGCTTTGATCCTGGATCAAGTGTTTAAGTCATGGATGTTTAAAGTTTAACTTCTTCATATGTCTAAAAATTTACTTTTCATTCAGGAAGTATGACGCTGCGCTGTCAGTACGCTTGTCCATGTTTGTGATTGGTCGAATGCTCCAAATACCACCCCTTTCATGTGAACGCGCACCTAACTCAAACATATCCAGGTTAGGTTGAACCAGCTTCGTAGTACAGGCCTCAGGTATAGAGGACAGAGAACGTGTGCGTGAATAAAACATAAATATAGGAAGGTTTTATCAGCAGTTAGAGGACAAACTGCTCCTCAATGAGGTGTGTAGTATACTGATAAATATAAATATGAATACCAGGTTGTCTGGGATGTTTTATAACTAATGATCTACTAGCGATGCAAGTTCTCGCCTCAAAAGAATCAGAAATACTTTATTGATTTACTTCATTCTGTGGATGTAATCTGTGTATACTGTACCGGCTTGGTGATGTCGAAGACCACGATGGCGGCCTGAGCTCCTCTGTAGTACATGGGGGCGAGGCTGTGGTAGCGCTCCTGTCCCGCCGTGTCCCAGATCTCAAACTTCACCGTGGTGTCGTCTAAACACACCGACTGAGCCAGGAACGCCGCTGCGCGAGAAGGAGGGAAATGACAAGTTACCAGGTGCTCTTCAAACCTTCGAACCACAACAGCAACACCATAGCAGGACTCATTTATCCAGTCGTAAGCTCGCTATCCCTCAACATTTTCACTTTAACTATACTATTCAGAACCCTTACCTTATTCAAAGGTTAAGGGAAAGTCTTGTGAAGTATTGGGGACATGAGTGGATGAATGGTACTTGGATTAAAACATGTAAGTTCCTGAGATCTGCCAAGTGTCTACACCTTCCTTTGTTCACACATCTGTTTACAATCCACATATTTATATTTGATTACAACAGGCAGCATTTCATTCCACTGTAAAGTTATTCATTTTACAATCTTTGTTATGTTGTTCTTTTTTACACGTACAAACCGATTTTTAACTGCATTTTAACTTGCACTATTGTGTCATATGCACACATTTTATGCCTTTTTCTTTTATGTTGTAAGTATCACCACCTTCAAAAAACTCACCTCTTCAATCTGGCTTTTAATGTGTGATTGTTTTTGTATTATTTGACTTTAACTTTAACTATATATTTATTTGTTGTTCCTTCCTTTTCTTTTCCCTTCACTATATCTGTAAAGCGTCTTTGAGCACCTGTAAAACGCTAACAAATTAAATCTATTAAATAAAATAAATCTATTATATTGCATTGTTGGAGAAGCCTGGACCTTAAGGTCTTAAGAGACAATCTTAAGATTGTCATTGCCAAAACTACACAGTAGGTATTGTGCGTATAACAATAAATAGTCAACCCTACAATATCGTCGCAATATGAAGCTAAGCGTATTTTATCAGACCTATTAACGTGATTAATTTAAGTATTCCTTTACTAACCACCTGATAAGCGACACACACACACACACACATCACTCCAGGGGACATTACATTGACTTACATGCATTTCCTGGAGACTTATCCTAACCTTAACCATAACCAACACATGCCTAACCCTAACCAAGTCTTCACCCTAAAATTAATGATTCCCCTCATGGGGACCTCCATTTTGTCCCCATGAGGGAGGCGAGTCCCCACACCTGACTATGTAAACAGATGTAGGTACACACACACACACACACACACACCACACACACACACACACACACACACACCACACACACACACACACACACACACACACACACACACACACACACACACCACACACACACACACACACACACACACACACACACACACACACACACACACACACTACACACACACACACACACATCACACACACACACACACGACACACACACACACACACACCACACACACACACACACAACACACACACACACACACACCACACACACACACACACAACACACACACACACACACACACACACACACACACACACACACCACACACACACACACACACACACACAGCACACACACACACACACACACACACACACACACACACACACCACCTCCTATGGTCGTCTCCTGGAACTCGTCAAACTGCCCTTTGACGAATCGCAGCACGAGGCTGGACTTGCCCACCGCCATGTCCCCCAGCAGCACCAGCTTGAACTGGCAGATCTTGGTTTGTGGCAGTGTGCCGTTGGTGCGGCCTCCACTCCCTCTGGAGCTCATACCAGCAGGGGGTCTCCTCCCTGGGGGAGGGGGGCTTCTGGGGACGTCAGGCACTTGCACCGCCTTCCAGAGTGGAGTCAGGTCTCGCTGATGTGTCCCGACGTCTCTTCACTCTCTGTTCTATCTGAGGGAAGAAGTGACGGGTTGTATTTTAGTGCAAGATTAAAAACCCCAGACTCAGAGACAGTTTCACCCCACAGGCCATAAGACTGTTCAACACCTGGACTTTTGAAAGAACATCCATAACATTCATCTGTTTGCAACTTACATATATCAATATTCCAATTACTTGTATATAGACTATTCTGCACTGTTTCTATTATATTATATTTACTTTCACTATTATCTGTTGTATTGTGTTGCACTGTTGGAGGAGCCTGTGGCCTAAGATGTTCATTGATATAACTGTAGCTATGAACAAATGACAATAAAAGCCTTGCAACTTGAATCATGTACACTTTCCCCTCTTTGTCATTGCAGGAAATAATTCCTCCAGTGCGTCATTAAAGTCTGGGGATACGAGTTTTATTAGGAGAGCTGCACATTGAATTTTTCATTTTATTTAACATGAATCCCATCCAAAGCATGTGCCACATAATTGTGATTTGTTTACTTCTGTCCCAAGTGGGTCTTTTGCATGTGCAGTGAAGCAAAGATATCATCCTAGAGCAGGGGGGTCAAACTCAAATACACAGTGGGCCAACATTTAAAAATGGGTACTAGTGGAGGGCCGGACTGGTTCAATGTTTATTGCAGAACTTATTGAAATGAACTTATTGCACATATTAAACCTGGAACTAACAAAGCTTCAATGATCGCCTATAAAAACAACATTAAACATTAAATAATCAGCTGCATTCATTTCTTATGGCTCTATCTGCAGCTTTTCCAGAGTCATTTCTTATGAGTACATTTTCCCACAGGCCAACAACAGCTTCAACAAAACTATTCCCCTCAAAGAGAAAACCAAACATGCCCTGTTGTCCTGAGAGAAAGTGCAGAAGGAAGCATCCATTGAACTCAGTGTGCTGCTCTGTGATGCTAGCTCAGATACTTGGCATCTCATCTTGGGTGCAAGGTCATCAATGTTTGGGCTCAGGCTCTGAGAGGAGGAGACCCTCAGGATGGAGTGAAGGTGTGCGTGCAATATACCGGCGGGCCAGATCTAACAGGAATTAGAAATTATCCTGCGGGCCGAAATTAAATCCACCACGGGCCGGATTTGGCCCCCGGGCCTCGAGTTTGACACCTGTGTCCTAGAGCAGGGGTCCCCAAACCCCGGGCCGCGGACCGGTACCGGTCCGTGGCTCATTTGGTACCAGGCCGCAGAGAAAAAAAAAATAACTTACATTATTTCCGTTTTATTTATTATCTGAGTCTGAACGATGTTTTATTTTGAAAACTGACCGGATTCCCTCTGTTACATCCGTCTCTGTCGCTAATCCGTTGCCGCTAAAATTAAACCCACAAGCTAGCAAAATGAGTAAAAAACAAACGTCTTTGGAAAGTTTATTTGCGAAGGGGAAAAGGCCCAGTGAGGACAGAAGTCGACTTCCAAGAAAAAAAAGTTGCATTTAACAGACAATACCAGGAGTCTTAAAATATGGATTTTTCGCGACAGGTGATGCCCGCGCACCAAGCCCGCTTTGCATAATATGCGGCAACCGGCTCTCTAATGAGGCAATGAAGCCTTCAAAACTGCTTCGCCACTTGGAGACCAAGCACCCTGCATTAAAAGACAAGCCTTCGGAGTATTTTGAAAGAAAAAAGCATGAACAAGAAGGACAGAAGCAATTCCTGAGGGCCACCACATCAACAAATGCGAGTGTACTGAGGGCATCATACTTGGTGGCTAACCGTATTGCTAAGGCTAAGAAGCCATTCACCATTGGTGAAGAATTGATCCTGCCCGCCACTAAAGACATTTGCCGTGAACTTCTAGGAGAGGCTGCGGTTAAAAAGATAGCACAGGTGCCTCTTTCGGCTAGCACCGTCACTCGGCGCATTGAGAAAATAGCAGAGGACATTGAGACACAATTGTTGGAGAGGATTAATACATCACCGTGGTACGCACTCCATGTTGACGAGTCTACAGATATTGACAACAAGGCAATACTACTTGTTTATGTGCGATATCTTTATCAGGAGGATGTGCATGAGGATATGTTATGTGCTCTATCGTTGCCAACCAAAACCACAGCCGCAGAACTATTCGAGTCGCTGGATGATTATATATCACTAAAATGGTCCTTTGGTGTCGGCATATGCACAGACGGAGCTGCTGCCATGACCGGACGGCTGTCTGGTTTAACTACTAGGATTAAGGAGGTTGCACCTGAATGTGAGTCTACGCATTGTGTCATTCACAGGGAATTGCTGGCTAGCCGAAAAATGCCACCGGAATTTAACAGCGTATTGAATGATGTCGTTAAAGTTATTAACCACATCAAAGCACACGCCCTTAACTCGCGCCTGTTCGAGCAGCTTTGTGAGGAGATGGACGCGGAGCACAGACGCCTTCTCTTATCCACAGAAATAAGATGGTTATCCCGACTCCCGAGGGAGATCGCTGGCCAGAGTGTTTGAATTACCAGAGCCGCTGCAGAGATTTCTCTCAGAAAAAAGTCACCGCTGGCAGCACATTTCAGTGACGAGGAATGGGTCGCAAAACTCGCTTACTTGTGCGACATATTCAACCTGCTCAATGAACTCAATCTGTCACTTCAGGGGGAAATGACAACTGTCTTCAAGTTGGCAGATAAAGTAGCTGCATTTAAAGCCAAACTGGATTTGTGGGGACGGCGCGTGAACAGAGACATTTGACATGTTTCAAACATTCGCGGGGATTTTGGAAGAGACTGAGCCCGAGCTTTCATTCTCCCAGATGGTGCATGATCACCTGTCTTTGCTTTTAAAAGAGTTTGACCGCTACTTCCCAACCACAAAAGACCCACGAACTGCCAAGGAATGGATCCGCGACCCATTTGTTAACAAACCAGGTGAATCAAGCATGTCTATGCAAGAAGAAGATCAACTGCTGGAGATCGCAAATGACGGCGGCCTTAAAAGTATGTTCGAGACAACAACTCTGCCGGTGTTCTGGATTAAAGTCACGGCAGAATACCCTGAGATCGCAACAACAGCACTGAAAACCCTGTTACCATTTCCGACATCCTATTTGTGTGAAGCGGGATTTTCTGCAGTGACAGCAACCAAAACAAAATTACGGAGTAGACTGGACATAAGCAATACACTTCGGGTGTCATCGTCTCCCATTACCTCCAGATGGGACCGTCTCGTTGTAGCGTTATGGTGAGTTGTATTTTTCATGCATTTTATATTTGTTTTTGCGTTGTATCTTATTTTGAAGGCATGTTTAAACGTTACCATAGCGACCAGAGAGTGTTAGGGGCAGAGAGGATGTTACTCATGTTATGTTGTTGGTGCGATGTTCCGAGGTCGCTGACAATAAAGTTGCATGCGAGTACACAGTGGATTCACGTTTAATATTATATGTATGAAAATACCACAGTTTTTATGCTGGTCGTATCATTTTATTGTGTGTATTTGTCCGCCACACCTTAAAGGCCGGTCCGTGAAAATATTGTCTGACATTAAAACGGTCCGTGGCGCAAAAAAGGTTGGGGACCGCTGTCCTAGAGTATCAAATACATCACAATAAGGTACTGAAACCGGCCCCTGCCACATGCAATATACAAGGTAAATGTTGTCTGTTGCTGGTCACCTGCCATCATGACAAATAGGTTTTATTTACATTAAGAAAACATTTTGTTTCTTTCTGCGCAAAGCTAATATATTTAGAGCTATGACGTGTTTGCCGTTCATGCTCCCAGTTCCTCTTTGCCCTCTTGTCTTTGCACATATCTGGAAATACATGAAACTACTTTGTAGAAAACTAAATGAATCAAGCTCTCAAAGACAAGTAGATATGTTCCTCTATTAAGTGTGTGACATGTATTATTATCCAAGGGCTTACAATATTAGATGGTGATGCTTACCGTCATCCGAAAAGAGAAGTGGTTATGTTTGCCGGATTGATTTGAAACAGTCACATCTATCAAAAGTGAATTTGTGTTGTTATCTATTTGTCTGCTGTCCTTTGTCTTGATCACTTATTGATCTTATCTGTCCTCTTCTTTACATGTTGGAAATACGTTTTCACACGTTACATGTAATCCCTTTTGTTGTGTTCTATATCCATAAAGAAAACGTATCGGTCAATCTGACACGAACTCGAGGAATAGCAAGACACAACTTAGCATTGCAACTGCATTTCTTTCCATCTCTGTGGATCATATCTTACCTCAAAAACACTTTTCTATCAAAGCAACAAACGCCTGTATAATATTAGAGCGACAGATTATTGCTTTGTTAGAAAATGGAGGATAATTCCTGCGCAAGAAAAGCAACTTGTTCAGCCCTGAATGTCTCCTCTGTGTCACTCATTCAGAACCAACTATCATACTAGTTCCCATTGTTCCCACTGTGTCCCTTATCCTGCAGAGAAACGAGAGCTTTAACACTTTAACATTAGCTGATACTAATTTGAGAAAAACAAAAAGCTAGATTCTTTATTTTTAGTTTAGACATGAACTCAAGGAATAGCAAGACACAACTTTGCAATGCAACTGCATTTCTTTACATCTCTGTGGTCACATCTTACCTCACAAACGCCTCTATGATCAAAAAGATGGACAGATTATGCTGTATTAGAAAATGGAGGTTAATCCCTGCACAGGAAATGCATCTTTCCAGCCGTGAATGTCTCCTCTGTGTCCACTGATTTAGACATGTTGATTATTTGCTAGCTGTGTGCCTTATCCTGCAGTGAAACCTGAGCTTTAGCAGAGATGCTGCATATTGCTGCCTGTCTCCCACCTGATATACTTCAATACTGAAAAACATCCACCCCTGCAGCAAACCAGTCCTTTAACACCACCTCATTTGGGTATTTTGAAGTGTAAATGTCAATATTAACACCAGCTTATCTTATCTTTGTGCTAACGGGATCCCTCATTCCAGACGAAACTCAATCTATATTTCGACGCCAGAATAAACACACAGATACTCGCTGATTGCACGAATAATAAAGAGATACTGAGAGGGATATATGAAGAATATTCACCGTGTTTACTGTGGTTTCAGCAGATATCGCAGGTTTCACTGTTGACAATTTGGCTTCATCAGCTGGTGAGAGAAAATGTTAACACTTCCTGTAGGTTTGCGCATGCGCAGTGAATGCCGCATTGTGAAACCGCATTTATTATATTTATTTATATATTTGATTTATTAGTTTATTCCACTCAAGGCAAAGGGAAATCTTATTTACCTTATTTTATTTCAATAAATAAATAAAAATACTTACAGTAACATGAAACCAAAATCACATAATTTTTTAGTGAACTCATAAGTTGAAGGAAAGCTCTATCTAATTATTTTTTTTAGTGAACTCATAAATTGAAGGAAAGCTCTATCTAATTATGTTTTTAGTGAACTCATAAATTGAAGGAAAGCTCTATCTAATTATGTTTTTAGTGAACTCATAAATTGAAGGAAAGCTCTATCTAATTATTTTTGCCAATTTATGTATTTGTTATGTATTACTTGTAGGCAAAACATTTAAATTGTGCAGGTCTCCCTTGAAAAAGAGATCAATGATCTCAATGGGATACACCTGGATAAATAAAGGTTTGAAATGAAATAAAATATCTTGATTTTAGAGCAGCTGTGAACCTGTCATGTCATACCTCTGTTTCATTGGTTGGCCAGCTGTCAATCTGCTCTGTTAGCTAATCGCTAACGACCATTTTTGGTGGGAGGGATTTAAGAGAACAGTTGACGTTAAGAAAACGGTGAGAACAAGTAATAATTCGGAGAAAAATAGTCAGAATTTGGGGATTTTTAATCAATGTATAGTAAGGCATAATACCATTGAACAAACGTAATGTTAAAGTTAATAATAAATAATCTGAATGGGCTTTTAAACGGTATTCATTTGACCTGTGTGTCCTCCAGGCCACAGGGGGCGCTGCTCACAACTCAGATAGCAAAGCACCCGAAAGTCCTAACCACATGAAGGATGTTTTGAAATGTTCTGCGGACTCCTCAATTTTTATCATGAAAACGGCACTTTGGCAACTTGCTGACATTATGCCGACAACACGTAGGAAGAAACAGGGGAGGGACACCTCTGTATGTCTTATACATAATATAAATATATACATTATACAGCAAAACATGATATAGAGAGTGGTGTTTTTTTATCAGTGTAACTAAGTACTCTTTTTGATGGACTCCAAGTCTTCCCATTGCAAGCCAAGTATATACTTTTACTTACTGTTTTACACCCTGTTGACATCTCTATATATTATTACTGTTATATGTATGCTGATATTCTGTTATACATTCAATTTCCCTGCAGTGTATCAAATAAACTCCTAAAGCTTTACCATAAGCAACATTAAAGTGATGAACATATAGTACATTAAATCCATATTATTCTTATATTGGCCATTCTGCAAAATGAATGCATTCAATGTTGGTTGATTACGTTTCTAAGTATATTTAGATTTTTATTTAAGCATACTTCTCCCTCTGAAAATATTTGTTATTTTAATTTGTTTCAATTACGCTGTATTCTATCCCTCTGTTATAACTTCTGCACTATTTTATGTGTTAGATTTCCATTTTTGGCATATCTTTTAGTAGTTATGCGTAGGCTACTGAGCATTTTTTCTCGGGAGCAGGTTTTCATTGCTCTTTAATTTCCTTAACTACTTACCATTCTCTCAAGTACCACTGGAAAAAGGTCAATTCATTGTTTTCTGTTGTTGTTCGATCCAGGTTCAGGGCACCAACGACAGCAGTGTGTTGAGCAAAGTGCAAAGCGGCCAGAAGAGCCCCGCTCATCAACAGGTATGATTTGCATTCATAAATACCTTTGCATTGAAATTCAAGCCATATTTGAACTATAACATTTTTAGATCTTGGTCATTTTTGCTAAATATGTTTGACTTATGGAATGATTTTATTCATCAGGAATGAGCTTTTGTGCATTTAAATTGTATGCAGTAGTATACACACCATTATACACTATTATAAAGAAAGTCTGGAGAGCTGTGGACCACTGTGTGAAGAGGTTCTTACAAATGACTGAAAACTGCCCCAAAAGACAGGCAAGTTATCAGCATAATAAGCGCTTTGAGCACCAGGAAAAGCACTATCTAAATCACATGTATTATTATGAATCTGTCTCTAGGTGCAGGGTCTCCGCCTGCATGCAGAGGAAGCACTTCACAGAGCTGTGTGTGTTGAGCAGCAGCAGGAAACACATCACATCTTGTGTCCATATCATTCTGTTGTGGTGGTCATGCCACAACCGTGCACGTGCATGCATACGCAAGTCATGGTAAGATATCTGGATTAAGAGGTTGCTTTTTCTTTGCACAGCATGAAAGAAAGGCCAAAATAATGAGTTTTTTTAAACAGAGGTTGAGTTCAATCATTTGTACGGCCCTCGGAGGATGTTGTATTCATTGAAATGGGCCTTGAGAAGAAAAGGGTTCCCACCCCTGCTCTAATGCCATGTCCTGTGTAATTAAGCTATTTTCAACCGTGACAAATGACTGAGTGGGGAATTTATTTACGGGATAGAACAGTTTGAAATCTCTTAAGCGTCTTATAAACATTGACTTTATTTCAGGCATCTAACCAAAAAACCCAAAGGGAGAAAAAAATGTATTCTTTGTAATCTCAATCTTTATTTATTTATATAGCACATTTAAAAACAATCTCAGTTGACCAAAGTGCTGTACAGGGAATACATACAATATAAAATAACACAATGGAAGTAAAAACAAATCAGTCGTTATTAAATAGATTTTCCCTCACACTCTTCTCACGTGAAACACATTCACAAAAAGGCAAGAGGAAAGCGTGTACTGTGTACAGTGACTGCATGTTGGAGGTTCTGCCCACTGATTTAAGAGCTAGTCAGGTATTTCATAAATGAAGAACTCATTAAATACAAAACGCAGAATTTGTGTGATTATACTAAATGATTTACAAAGAAATATTTCGCACTAAACACCACTGCATATCTACAACTGTTCCATGTTCTCTTCTCTTTGCTTCAGGTACTCCTCCCATGTGATTGGTGAGAGGCTGCTGGTGGTTGGAGGAGTTTGGCTGCTTTCAGACGGTGTTCCTGGAGTCCTGATGATAAACCTGAGCTCCCTCTGCAGCGTGGAGTTCAGACTGGAGACGGTCCGTTCAATATCACACTTTACTTTATTCATGCTCCCCAACAGGTGTAATGGCCTTGGTTAGAGGTGGGAAGTAGTGGAGTACAAATACTTCCTTACTGTACTTAAGTACATGTTTCTGGTATCAGCACTTTACTCCACTACTTATTTTTCTGACCACTTTTTACTTCTACTTCTTACATGTTGAACACAAATACCTGTACTTTCTACTTCTTACATGTTGAACTCAAATACCTGTACTTTCTACTTCTCACATGTTGAACACAAATACCTGTACTTTCTACTTCTCACATGTTGAACACAAATACCTGTACTTTCTACTTCTCACATGTTGAACACAAATACCTGTACTTTATACTTCTTACATGTTGAACACAAATACCTGTACTTTCTACTTCTTACATGTTGAACACAAATACCTGTACTTTATACTTCTCACATGTTGAACTCAAATACCTGTACTTTCTACTTCTCACATGTTGAACACAAATACCTGTACTTTATACTTCTTACATGTTGAACTCAAATACCTGTACTTTCTACTTCTCACATGTTGAACTCAAATACCTGTACTTTCTACTTCTCACATGTTGAACTCAAATACCTGTACTTTCTACTTCTTACATGTTGAACACAAATACCTGAACTTTCTACTTCTCACATGTTGAACTCAAATACCTGTACTTTCTACTTCTCACATGTTGAACTCAAATACCTGTACTTTCTACTTCTTACATGTTGAACTCAAATACCTGTACTTTCTACTTCTCACATGTTGAACTCAAATACCTGTACTTTCTACTTCTCACATGTTGAACACAAATACCTGTACTTTCTACTTCTTACATGTTGAACTCAAATACCTGTACTTTCTACTTCTCACATGTTAAACTCAAATACCTGTACTTTCTACTTCTCACATGTTGAACTCAAATACCTGTACTTTCTACTTCTCACATGTTGAACACAAATACCTGTACTTTCTACTTCTTACATGTTGAACTCAAATACCTGTACTTCTACTTCTCACATGTTGAACACAAATACCTGTACTTTCTACTTCTTACATGTTGAACTCAAATACCTGTACTTTCTACTTCTCACATGTTGAACTCAAATACCTGTACTTTCTACTTCTCACATGTTGAACTCAAATACCTGTACTTTCTACTTCTTACATGTTGAACACAAATACCTGTACTTTCTACTTCTCACATGTTGAACACAAATACCTGTACTTTCTACTTCTTACATGTTGAACACAAATACCTGTACTTTCTACTTCTCACATGTTGAACTCAAATACCTGTACTTTCTACTTCTTACATGTTGAACTCAAATACCTGTACTTTCTACTTCTTACATGTTGAACTCAAATACCTGTACTTTCTACTTCTCACATGTTGAACACAAATACCTGTACTTTATACTTCTTACATGTTGAACTCAAATACCTGTACTTTCTACTTCTCACATGTTGAACTCAAATACCTGTACTTTCTACTTCTCACATGTTGAACTCAAATACCTGTACTTTCTACTTCTTACATGTTGAACACAAATACCTGTACTTTCTACTTCTCACATGTTGAACTCAAATACCTGTACTTTCTACTTCTTACATGTTGAACACAAATACCTGTACTTTCTACTTCTCACATGTTGAACACAAATACCTGTACTTTATACTTCTTACATGTTGAACTCAAATACCTGTACTTTCTACTTCTCACATGTTGAACTCAAATACCTGTACTTTCTACTTCTCACATGTTGAACTCAAATACCTGTACTTTCTACTTCTTACATGTTGAACTCAAATACCTGTACTTTCTACTTCTTACATGTTGAACACAAATACCTGTACTTTCTACTTCTTACATGTTGAACACAAATACCTGTACTTTCTACTTCTTACATGTTGAACCTAAATACCTGTACTTTCTACTTCTTACATGTTGAACACAAATACCTGTACTTTCTACTTCTTACATGTTTGAACTCAAATACCTGTACTTTCTACTTCTCACATGTTGAACTCAAATACCTGTACTTTCTACTTCTTACATGTTGAACACAAATACCTGTACTTTCTACTTCTCACATGTTGAACTCAAATACCTGTACTTTCTACTTCTTACATGTTGAACCTAAATACCTGTACTTTCTACTTCTCACATGTTGAACTCAAATACCTGTACTTTCTACTTCTTACATGTTGAACACAAATACCTGTACTTTCTACTTCTCACATGTTGAACACAAATACCTGTACTTTCTACTTCTTACATGTTGAACCTAAATACCTGTACTTTCTACTTCTTACATGTTGAACCTAAATACCTGTACTTTCTACTTCTTACATGTTGAACTCAAATACCTGTACTTTCTACTTCTCACATGTTGAACTCAAATACCTGTACTTTCTACTTCTTACATGTTGAACACAAATACCTGTACTTTCTACTTCTCACATGTTGAACACAAATACCTGTACTTTATACTTCTTACATGTTGAACTCAAATACCTGTACTTTCTACTTCTCACATGTTGAACACAAATACCTGTACTTTCTACTTCTCACATGTTGAACTCAAATACCTGTACTTTCTACTTCTTACATGTTGAACTCAAATACCTGTACTTTCTACTTCTTACATGTTGAACACAAATACCTGTACTTTCTACTTCTCACATGTTGAACTCAAATACCTGTACTTTCTACTTCTTACATGTTGAACTCAAATACCTGTACTTTCTACTTCTTACATGTTGAACACAAATACCTGTACTTTCTACTTCTCACATGTTGAACTCAAATACCTGTACTTTCTACTTCTCACATGTTGAACTCAAATACCTGTACTTTCTACTTCTCACATGTTGAACTCAAATACCTGTACTTTCTATTTCTTACATGTTGAACTCAAATACCTGTACTTTCTACTTCTTACATGTTTGAACTCAAATACCTGTACTTTTCTACTTCTCACATGTGAACACAAATACCTGTACTTTCTACTTCTCACATGTTGAACTCAAATACCTGTACTTTCTACTTCTCACATGTTGAACTCAAATACCTGTACTTTCTATTTCTTACATGTTGAACTCAAATACCTGTACTTTCTACTTCTTACATGTTGAACTCAAATACCTGTACTTTCTACTTCTCACATGTTGAACTCAAATACCTGTACTTTCTACTTCTTACATGTTGAACTCAAATACCTGTACTTTCTACTTCTCACATGTTGAACACAAATACCTGTACTTCTACTTCTTACATGTTGAACACAAATACCTGTACTTTCTACTTCTTACATGTTGAACTCAAATACCTGTACTTTCTACTTCTTACATGTTGAACTCAAATACCTGTACTTTCTACTTCTTACATGTTGAACTCAAATACCTGTACTTTCTACTTCTTACATGTTGAACACAAATACCTGTACTTTCTACTTCTTACATGTTGAACTCAAATACCTGTACTTTCTACTTCTTACATGTTGAACACAAATACCTGTACTTTCTACTTCTTACATGTTGAACTCAAATACCTGTACTTTCTACTTCTTACATGTTGAACCCAAATACCTGTACTTTCTACTTCTTACATGTTGAACACAAATACCTGAACTTTCTACTTCTCACATGTTGAACCCAAATACCTGTACTTTCTACTTCTTACATGTTGAACACAAATACCTGTACTTTCTACTTCTTACATTTTGAACACAAATACCTGTACTTTCTACTTCTCACATGTTGAACCCAAATACCCTGTACTTTCTACTTCTTACATGTTGAACACAAATACCTGTACTTTCTACTTCTTACATTTTGAACACAAATACCTGTACTTTCTACTTCTCACATGTTGAACCCAAATACCTGTACTTTCTACTTCTTACATGTTGAACACAAATACCTGTACTTTCTACTTCTCACATGTTGAACTCAAATACCTGTACTTTCTACTTCTCACATGTTGAACTCAAATACCTGTACTTTCTACTTCTTACATGTTGAACACAAATACCTGTACTTTCTACTTCTTACATGTTGAACTCAAATACCTGTACTTTCTACTTCTTACATGTTGAACTCAAATACCTGTACTTTCTACTTCTTACATGTTGAACTCAAATACCTGTACTTTCTACTTCTTACATGTTGAACACAAATACCTGAACTTTCTACTTCTTACATGTTTAACACAAATACCTGTACTTTCTACTTCTTACATGTTGAACACAAATACCTGTACTTTCTACTTCTTACATGTTGAACTCAAATACCTGTACTTTCTACTTCTTACATGTTGAACACAAATACCTGTACTTTCTACTTCTACATGTTGAACTCAAATACCTGTACTTTCTACTTCTTACATGTTGAACACAAATACCTGTACTTTCTACTTCTCTCATTTTCCAAACAGCTGGTTCCTTTAGTCTGAATGTGTGTTTGATGCGTGATCATTATTCTTTAGAGTCATTGCGTGCCTATTGATTTGAACACGATCCGTGTATCCATCATTTCCTGGTCTTCTCTAAAGAAGAGGGACCAATGGAAACGTTGTCATGTTGCCGTTGTTCAGCATGGAAACATTCATTAGCTAACAATGACATTATTGTTCTATGAATATAAAGGGAGGTCAGGTACTCTTTAAAACAGCTGCTAGTTATGGGTACTTTTTACTGAAGTACATTTCAAAGCCTCTTTACTTTGACTTGAGTAAAGAAGTTTAGTCAGTACTTCTACTTCTACCAGAGCATTTTTAAACACGAGTATCTGTACTTCTACTTGTGTAAAGGTGTGTGTACTTTTCTGATTCTCTTCGTGTTCTTCCCTCTCAGTCCTCGGTGTCGTGGCCTCTGGTTCTCCACTCGTTCTGCTCCGAGCTGACGGACTCCATAGATCAGAAGCTGCTCCTGATTGGAGGAGGAGGAAACTGCTTCTCTTTTGGGACTCACCTCAACCTGCAGCCGGTCACTTTGGACCTGAGAGCCACGCTGGGATGAAGTAGCTTCAAGTGTTTCTGTGAAACTGCAACGCTGCTCAAATCAACGACTTTAACTGAAGACATGGAGACTCCATGACTCCAGAATTTTGTTGTATGTTTATGTATGTTTTGAGTGTGTGAGGACCCCAGGAAGAATAGCCAATGCTCATGCTAGTGCTAATGGGGATCCTAAAAAAAAAAGAAAAAAAAAAAAAGACTCCAACCAGACAGGAAGGATTAACTTATATTTGTTATATGGTTTGTGTTTGTTGCATGTTCTGTTGCTTTCACCTCTTAGAATATTTAACAAATTGTACGGTGTCCTTGAGTGTCATGAAAGGCGCCTTAAATAAAATGTATTATTATTATTATTCATATTACATGAGATAGAGTGGATTTATTGATTTGTAAATACACTTTTTTGATAATTTTGTACCTGTTTAAGTTATTTTTCATGCAAATATTACACCGAATATGTTTTCAAGCCTCTAAAATATGATTATAAATTATATAAAAGTAAATATATTCGGGTTTTGGACATACAAACAAAAGATTTGAAGCCTCACCTTGGACTTGGAGAAACTTGAATGGACATTTTTCACATTTTTCTGGCATTTTAAAGACCCACTACTTTATAAATTGGATACAATCAGCACTAATTTGGAACTATAATAATAACAGTGCCTACTACAGACAAGTATAACTGTTATCGACATCGAGCCCTGAAAGTGAATTGTTGGATGTCATGGCGCTTTTCCACTGCAGCACGTGCTTTTTTTTTGCTTTTCTACTAGGGGTAGTTCCGGCTCAGGGCTACTTTTTCACCTTTTTTCTGGCCCTCCAAAATCGAGGTTCTTACCGGGCCAACAACCGGGCTGAATATGCTAAACTAGTGACGTAAACACTCTCGACTGCTGATTGGTCAGAGAGAATCGCGGCAAGGGGGCTACAAGTACAACAAGATGAACATATTTTGACCGTGATTTAATTGTAATACACGTTTCAAAATGATGCCGAAGTAACAACATACTGATACCGGTTAGTAAAAATCATGAATTAATGCTTTGACAAGTCTACAGACAGACGGCAGGCGAAAAACCCTTTAAAATGCGTGTTTTCTGAATGGAGATCTAAGCTAACGCAGTATATGCTCCGACCGTCCACACTCACAACAACGGCCTATACAGACATAAATAAACCAGCGACTGTATGTGCCATGACACAGACAGTCTGTGGTTTGTACTTGTTTAACTGTTGTCTAGTTTCTGAACAGATATGAGGAGCTGTGAGCTTGAGTGCTAACAGCAGCTAATATTACATGAGATAGAGCTGCAACCATAGGCGGCGCGTGAGGCTCAGGTTTGAGAAGGCTAAATAACTTTTTTTTACCTGACGCTGCCCGCCCCCGCGTCTATAGAAAAGAGATCAACTCAGTGAAAGCACCGCCTGCTGACCAATCAGAGCTCTGTGTGTGGAGTTTAAATCTATCAAGTCATATTACAGGAGAAAGGAAATACAGTTTAAACTGCCGTATGCAGAGAAGACGCCGACTTGTCGCACTTGTCATTCATATCACACTGACATCACATCATCACTCAGATCATCGATCTCACATCGATATCACAATATTTCCTTATCTGAGTCAGCTTCTCGAGCCGTATCTGGCCGTGCAACACTTAGTTACATTGTCACATATACTGTATGCAGACGTATTATTTTAAGCAACACATTAAGTTGATGAAACACTCAACTCAAATGTAATAAAGTCAGATCCCCTCGTGTCTTAGACGGGCAGTGATATCATAAAACTGTTGTACGCTTTCAAACACTCGGTAGTTTATTTATTTTTTTAACCAGTTGTTATATATTCACCTCGCAGGTGGCTATGTGGTTTCCTGGATTATATGTTTAAGTCATAGATGTTTAAAGTTCATATTTGTCTAATATTAGTTTACTTTTCATTAATGAAGTATGACGCTGCGCTGTCAGTACACTTGTCCCTGTTTGTGATTGGTCAAATGTTGCTAACCCCGCCCCTTTCACGTGAACGCGCTCTCAGCTGGTGAGAGAAACCCTGGCTTGATTTACGGAGTTGATAACCAGCGTCGTAGGGCCGCTCGTTTGTTAGGATTAGTTAAGATAACTCAAACATATCCAGGGTCTGTTGAACTGGCTTGTACAGTTTACTGGTGGCTGCATAGCAGCGCTAATGTCAAAGACACAAACATTATACATTATATTTTTATTTTACCAGGATGCAGTGACACACATATTTGTGAAGGCTTAGCCTACAGTACCCGCCGCCCCTGGCTGCAACGATAAGTGGACTTATTGATTTGTTAACCAACTTTTTTGATACTCTTTTACTTGTTAAAGTTATTTTTCATGCAAATACCAAAAATGATGTTTTTCAGCTTCTAGAACATGGAGATGTCCTGCTTTCATATGATAAAGTAAATGTATTTGGATTTTGGACATACAAACAAAAGATATAATGACAACACATTGGACGTAGGCCTACTACCATGACCATATTCACAGGAGTTCCTTGACCTCTCACCTCAAGATATCTGAATGGAAAATGGTTGTATGAATCCCAACAAGTCTCCTCTTTACAGACATATCCACCTTTTGCTAATCACATGCAATTGAGAGATAAAGCCATATAGATCGTTTTTTTATATTTCTGCACAATAGTGTCCCTAAACAGTTTGAATTTGTATACACGATAAATCAATAATGAAAAGTGCTAGTATTTCGCTTCCCTAATTTGGGACAGTTTGAATAGATCATACTTTCCCAATCAACTGTAATTTGCTCAGAAGAGTGGATGTCTAAGTATGTGGGCTTAAAAGACTCCTTTGGGGAAAATCAAAAAAGAAATGTCGTCAGTCTGCTTATTGGACAGGTTTTTATTTTTGGACACCTCAGATCAAAATCAGACAGCAAGGTGTTTGTATTTGTAACGTGTTGGATGTGTGTGAAATCATTCAGTGAAGCGCCTGAAGCTCTGCACCGTGGGACTCGCGGCCCCCCAGTCTCCGTGCTTACGGTACTCCCCCTTCTCCAGGAAGTACTGGCGCCCGCGGTAGTTTGGGTGTTCGTAGAAAACCCACCATCCGTCCAGGACCTTGCACGAGTTCACCTCCCTCCAGCGGATCTTCTCCAGCAGCGAGGGGCAGTCGTCTGAACCCTCAAAGGCCTGGCCCCCGAAATCTGGCTTCTCATACAGCTGGATCTTATACTGAGACCCCCCGGTCTGAGAGGAAGAGGGAGGAAGAGAGGATGAGAGGGTTTAAAAAATGTTTGTCAATTTATTGAACATGTTAGAAACAAAACAAACAATAATATTAATAATTATAATTGTAACAAGGAGAAGCAAAATGAAATTCTTCATGCAGAACATTCAAGAAATGCTGCTTTCAGACTGTATAGAGATGTTCTGCTTTCTCTGTTTTATGTCATATTAAATTGAATATGTGTGGATTTTGGAGCGACAACAACGAGACTGTCCTACCCCTCCCCCCCCCCCCCTCTAGCGTACATTGTTCATGCAAATACAAGTTTATCAGCATCCGTCATATTTGATTCATTGTTTTAAACAATTTGTACAAAACAACCAAAAATAAATAACTTTTACAACGACAAGAAATAGCAAGCATGAGTTCACAGGTCCTGCTCAGAAGCATGCAGGATTTGGTTTCTAAATAAGAGTTTTAGTTTAGATAAAGTTGCACAGTATTTCAGCTCATCATTAGAGTTATTCCACAGATCAACACCTTCTGTTGTGATGGGTTGTAGTGGAAGGTATAGGTGGTTGTATTGCAGAGGGTTAGGGGTGAGTGGGGAAGGATGTAGGAAAACAGGAAGGGAGGATACGATTTAAATCTAACAAAAGTCAATCGTATTTGTCCCACTGCATATTAAATGAGGGTTATAATCATTATATGTATCTGGCATGATCCATTGTATCAATGAGATGAATTATTCTCACAGTTTTTAGTCGGAGGTACCCCAAAAACCCTAATCAGTTGAAGTTGCGTACCCCTCATTTGACTCCCAACATTATTCCAAATAAACACAATTCATTATATAAAAGTGCTTTTTTGTTAATTGCTTCTTATAAATTAACTTAATATTTAGGTTGGTTTGGTCAGCAATCATTCTCCTACTTCTGTTGAGCTAACATCATGTTTTACTTTAAGGAATGTATTTCCACCATTAATTGTTCAGTGTTACTTTTTGCGAACTGTTTCAACCATTCATTAATCTAACATGACCCTTTTAGCTAATGGACTAACAGTACTGGTTTTCTAACCCTCACATGACGGCCAGATGTTCAGCTGTTGTAATTGACTCATTTTGTAGTTTAATTAATTAGTTAACTACAGCAACAGTGTCCAATTGGGAAGGTTGCTCATCCCTGCATTAGATAACCATCACTATTTGCTTAAACTAACAGCAGCTCGTACAACTCCGATTGATCTCTGAGTGTGGCTGCAGGCTGTGGGTCAGATCGTTCTGAGGACTGACCCTCGTATTGGTTTCCATCCACAGCCCTGCAGACATGAAGCAGCAGAGCATGACCTCCATCAGTCAGCTCCACTCTCTGCTCACACGCTGCCTTTATCACTGCAAACTACTGACTGGCTCAGGCTGAGTCACTCAGCCTGAGTCACTCAGCCTGAGTCACTCAGCCTGAGTCACTCAGCCTGAGTCACTCAGGCTGAGTCACTCAGCCTGAGTCACTCAGCCTGAGTCATGAAGACAAATGATCTGCTAAAATACTAATATGAGTCCATTTGTTTGTACAGGTTACTGGTGATTTAAAGGTCCCCTATGATACTGTTTGTCATCAGTATATCACAGGTCTCAGATATATACAGAACCTGTCTCTGATTGGCTCTAAACTCCAAACAGATCATTGCAGCATTACCCATAATCCCCTCTGTTTCAGCCCTGTTTCCAAAGTGCTGATTCTCTGTCTGTTACTTTAGATGAAAACAAGGAGCCCCTCCCCACGCCCCTCTGAGAGAGATTTGGTTACAAAGAACTCAATGGTGCTCTAGAGGAGATTCAGGTGATAAGGGGGGGAGGGGGGGGGGGGGGTTACCTTGGTTGCTGATTGGCTAATGGTTACACAAGACAACACATCGTTATGACATCATAAAGTGGCCAAAATCTGATCATCTCATTTTCAGACAGGTTTTTATAGAAATGGATCAAAAAGAGAGAGAATCTTTGTTCCTGAAACTTTCAGAGTCTTTCCACAGAGGGGACACATGTTGATGTAGAAGAGACATGAAGAAGAGGGGACACATGTTGATGTAGAAGAGACATGAAGAAGAGGGGACACATGTTGATGTAGAAGAGACATGAAGAAGAGGGGACACATGTTGATGTAGAAGAGACATGAAGAAGAGGGGACACATGTTGATGTAGAAAGAGACATGAAGAAGAGGGGACACATGTTGATGTAGAAGATACATGAAGAAGAGGGGACACATGTTGATGTAGAAGAGACATGAAGAAGAGGGGACACATGTTGATGTAGAAGAGACATGAAGAAGAGGGGACACATGTTGAGTGTAGAAGAGACATGAAGAAGAGGGGGACACATGTTGATGTAGAAGATACAATGAAGAAGAGGGGACACATGTTGATGTGGAAGAGACATGAAGAAGAGGGGACACATGTTGATGTAGAAGAGACATGAAGAAGAGGGGACACATGTTGATGTAGAAGAGACATGAAGAAGAGGGGACACATGTTGATGTAGAAGATACATGAAGAAGAGGGGACACATGTTGATGTAGAAGAGACATGAAGAAGAGGGGACACATGTTGATGTAGAAGAGACATGAAGAAGAGGGGACACATGTTGATGTAGAAGAGACATGAAGAAGAGGGGACACATGTTGATGTAGAGGAGACATGAAGAAGAGGGGGACACATGTTGATGTAGAAAGAGACATGAAGAAGAGGGGACACATGCTGATGGAGAAGAGACATGAAGAAGAGGGGGACACATGTTGATGTAGAAGAGACATGGAGAAGAGGGGACACATGTTGATGTAGAAGAGACATGAAGAAGAGGGGACACATGTTTGATGTAGAGAGACAATGAAGAAGAGGGGACACATGTTGATGTAGAAGAGACATGAAGAAGATGGGACACATGTTTGATGTAGAAGAGACATGAAGAAGAGGGGACACATGTTGATGTAGAAGAGACATGAAAGAAAGAGGGGACACATGTTGATGTAGAAGAGACATGAAGAAGAGGGGACACATGTTGATGTAGAAGAGACATGAAGAAGAGGGGACACATGTTGATGTAGAAGAGACATGAAGAAGAGGGGACACAATGTTGATGTAGAGGAGACATGAAGAAGAGGGGACACATGTTGATGTAAAGAGCATGAAGAAGAGGGGACACATGCTGATGGAGAAGAGACATGAAGAAGAGGGGACACATGTTGATGTAGAAGAGACATGGAGAAGAGGGGACACATGTTGATGTTAGAAGAGACATGAAGAAGAGGGGACACATGCTGATGTAGAAGAGAGACATGGAGAAGAGGGGGACACATGTTGATGTAGAAGAGTCATGAAGAAGAGGGGACACATGTTGATGTAGAAGAGACATGAAGAAGAGGGGATCATCATGTTGATGTGCGGGAGAGACATGAAGAAGAGGGGTGACACATGTTTGAATGTAGAAGAGACATGAAGAAGAGGGGACACATGTTGGATGTAGAATAGACATGAAGAAGAGGGGACAACGTGTTGATGTAGAAGAGACATGAAGAAGAGGGACACATGTGATGTAGAAGAGACAATGAAAGAAGAGGGGACACATGTTGATGTAGAAGAGACATGAAGAAGAGGGGACACATGCTGATGTAGAAGAGACATGGAGAAGAGGGGACACATGTTGATGTAGAGAAGAGACATGAAGAAGAGGGGACACATGTTGATGTAGAAGAGACATGAAGAAGAGGGGACACATGTTGATGTAGAAGAGACATAAAGAAGAGGGGACACATGTTGATGTAGAAGACACATGAAGAAGAGGGGACACATGCTGATGTAGAAGAGACATGAAGAAGAGGGGACACATGTTTGATGTAGAAGAGACATAAAGAAGAGGGGACACATGTTGATGTAGAAGACACATAAAGAAGAGGGGACACATGTTGATGTAGAAGAGACATGGAGAAGAGGGGACACATGCTGATGTAGAAGAGACATGAAGAAGAGGGGACACATGCTGATGTAGAAGAGACATGGAGAAGAGGGGACACATGCTGATGTAGAAGAGACATGAAGAAGAGGGGACACATGTTGATATAGAAGAGACATGAAGAAGAGGGGACACATGTTGATGTAGAAGAGACATGAAGAAGAGAGGACACATGTTGATGTAGAAGAGACATGAAGAAGAGGGACACATGTTGATGTAGAAGAGACAAGAAGAAGAGGGGACACATGTTGATGTAGAAGAGACATGAAGAAGAGGGGACAAATGTTGATGTAGAAGAGACATGAAGAAGAGGGGACACACATTGATGTAGAAGAGACATGAAGAAGAGGGGACACATGTTGATGTAGAAGAGACATGAAGAAGAGGGGACACATGTTGATGTAGAAAAGACATGAAGAAGAGGGGGCACGTGTTGATGTAGAAGAGACATGAAGAAGAGGGGACACGTGTTGATGTAGAAGAGACATGAAGAAGAGGGGACACATGTTGATGTAGAAGAGACATGAAGAAGAGGGGACACATGTTGATGTAGAAGAGACATGAAGAAGAGGGGACACATGTTGATGTAGAAGAGACATGAAGAAGAGGGGACACATGTTGATGTAGAAGAGACATGAAGAAGAGGGGACACATGTTGATGTAGAAGAGACATAAAGAAGAGGGGACACATGCTGATGTAGAAGAGACATGAAGAAGAGGGGACACATGTTGATATAGAAGAGACATGAAGAAGAGGGGACACATGTTGATGTAGAAGAGACATGAAGAAGAGAGGACACATGTTGATGTAGAAGAGACATGAAGAAGAGGGGGACACATGTTGATGTAGAAGAGACAAGAAGAAGAAGGGGACACATGTTGATGTAGAAGAGACATGAAGAAGAGGGGACACATGTTGATGTAGAAGAGACATGAAGAAGAGGGGGACACACGTTGATGTAGAAGAGACATGAAGAAGAGGGGACACATGTTGATGTAGAAAGAGACATGAAGAAGAGGGGACACATGTTGATGTAGAAAAGACATGAAGAAGAGGGGGCACATGTTGATGTAGAAGAGACATGAAGAGAGGGGGACACATGTTGATGTGGAAGAGACATGGAGAAGAGGGGACACATGTTTGATGTAGAAGAGACATGAAGAAGAGGGGACACATGTTGATGTAGAAGAGACATGAAGAAGAGGGGACACATGTTGATGTAGGGAAGAGACATGAAGAAGAGGGGGACACGTGTTGATGTAGAAGAGACATGAAGAAGAGGGGACAACGTGTTGATGTAGAAGAGACATGGAGAAGAAGGGGGACACGTGGTGATGTAGAAGAGACATGAAGAAGAGGGGACACGTGTTGATGTAGAAGAGACATGAAGAAGAGGGGACACGTGGTGATGTAGAAGAGACATGAAGAAGAGGGGACACGTGTTGATGTAGAAGAGACATGAAGAAGAGGGGACACATGTTGATGTAGAAGAGACATGAAGAAGAGGGGACACATGTTGATGTAGAAGAGACATGAAGAAGAGGGGACACATGTTTGATGTAGAAGAGACATGAAGAAGAGGGGACACATGTTGATGTAAGAAGAGACATGAAGAAGAGGGGACACATGTTTGAAGTGAGAAGAGACATAAAGAAGAGGGGACACATGCTGATGGTAAGAAGAGACATGAAGAAGAGGGGACACATGTTTGATATAGAAGGGACATGAAGAAGAGGGGACACATGTTGATGTAGAAGAGACATGAAGAAGAGAGACACATTGTGAATGTAGAAGAGACATGAAGAAGAGGGGACACATGTTGATGTAGAAGAGACAAGAAGAAGAGGGGACACATGTTGATGTAGAAGAGACATGAAGAAGAGGGGACCATGTTGATGTATAAGAGACATGAAGAAGAGGGGACACACGTTGATGTGAGAAGAGACATGAAGAAGAGGGGACACATGTTGATGTAGAAGAGACATGAAGAAGAGGGGACACATGTTGATGTAGAAAAGACATGAAGAAGAGGGGGCACATGTTGATGTAGAAGAGACATGAAGAAGAGGGGACACATGTTGATGTGGAAGAGACATGGAGAAGAGGGGACACATGTTGATGTAGAAGAGACATGAAGAAGAGGGGACACATGTTGATGTAGAAGAGACATGAAGAAGAGGGGACACATGTTGATGTAGGAGAGACATGAAGAAGAGGGGACACGTGTTGATGTAGAAGAGACATGAAGAAGAGGGGACACGTGTTTGATTGTAGAAGAGACATGGAGAAGAGGGGACACGTGTTGATGTAGAAGAGACATGAAGAAGAGGGGACACGTGTTGATGTAGAAGAGACATGAAGAAGAGGGGACACGTGTTGATGTAGAAGAGACATGAAGAAGAGGGGACACGTGTTGATGTAGAAGAGACATGAAGAAGAGGGGACACGTGTTGATGTAGAAGAGACATGAAGAAGAGGGGACACATGTTGATGTAGAGAGACATGAAGAAGACTGGGGACACGTGTTGATGTAGAAGAGACATGAAGAAGAGGGGACACGTGTTGATGTAGAGAGACATGAAGAAGAGGGGACACATGTTATGTATGTGAGAAGAGACATGAAGAAGAGGGGAACCATGTTGATGTAGAAGAGACATGGAGAAGAGGGGGACACATGTTGATGTAGAAGAGGACATGGAGAAGAGGGGACACGTGTTGATGTAGAAGAGACATGAAGAAGAGGGGACACATGTTGATGTAGAAGAGACATGAAGAAGAGGGGACACATGTTGATGTTAGAAGAGACATGGAGAAGAGGGGACACATGTTGATGTAGAAGAGACATGGAGAAGAGGGGACACATGTTGATGTAGAAGAGACATGAAGAAGAGGGGACAACATGTTGATGTGGAAGAGACATGAAGAAGAGGGGACACATGTTGATGTAGAAGAGACATGAAGAAGAGGGGACACATGTTGATGTAGAAGAGACATGAAGAAGAGGGGACACATGTTGATGTGGAAGAGACATGAAGAAGAGGGGACACATGTTGATGTAGAAGAGACATGGAGAAGAGGGGACACATGTTGATGTAGAAGAGACATGAAGAAGAGGGGACACATGTTGATGTAGAAGAGACATGAAGAAGAGGATTTTGCACAATAGGTGACCTGAGATCTGCAGGCAATGTCAGGCAACCTCAATAAACCGTGATCACACCATGACCCCAGAGATACACTTGTTATGTCATACATCATCTCACTGGTGTATGAATCCATTATTCCATTGTGTAAGACTTTGCAATCAATTTATTTCTAAAAACCTCCTCTCACTGTTTCTTGTTTTTGTTTTAAATGGTGCTTTCTTTAAATCAGGACTGTTTTAGGGTCAAAAGCATCCAAGTCCACCTATGCCCTTTTAATGGAGGGTGGAACTTTGTATTGAGTCCATGTTTCCACAGCGTGTTTCCAATCACACACTCTTTCACTTTTAGTATGAACTGCAGCTGCCCTTGCAAAGTATTTACCAGTGCATGCAGCAGGCTACAATCAAGACAGAGTACTTCATACGACATGACATTGCATCCTTTGCCTCGGGTTCAGAAGGACATCCTTGTATTTGAGGCATCCTGCATTTGACATACTATGTATTGGGACATGCTTAACATTTGTATGGCATACCAAATACTGTAGTACGGTATTAAGCTGATTAAGGAGTACAGGCCTCTTAGCTTAAGTTAAAATGTTATTAGGCTACCACAGTGTAGAAATACTCTGTTAGGAGTAAAAGTACTGCATTATTTGTTTACTTAAGTAGAAGTACAAAAGTATCAGCACCAAATATACTTAAAGTACCAAAACTAAAAGCTCTCACAATGCAGAACAATGAATATTATATCACTGGATTATAATCAGTGATCCATTATTGTGGAGCTCATTCGAATGACTTTCATTACCTCCAGGTGTGATCATTCATTAGTTGACTTTGTAATAATATAAACCTGCCACTACTTAAATGTGTAGCATAAAATGGAAATACTTGAGTACAAGTACCTTAAAACTATTATTATTAAGTACAGTAGTTGCGTTAATGTTCTAAGTTACTTCAGTCTCAGGTAGTAAAGGTATTTGAAACCAAGAGACAAGAATACCTCTTGTGCTTTTTTTACACCAGATAAGCTGCTGTCTGACTTACGAAGTGGACCATCTTGCAGGAGCTGAGGCGGTCGTTGAGGCCCATCCAGCGCTGGTAGTCGGGGTACTCCCCCCGGGTCAGAACGTACTGGTGCCCCATGAAGTTGGGCCTCTCGTACAGCACCCAGGCGCCGCTCTCCACCCGGATGGAGTTGCAGCGGCTCAGGTAGGCGTGGAAGTCGGAGCAGTCGCTGTCGCACTCATAGCGCCGGCCCTGGAAGCTCTTATCCTCGTAGAACACAATCTGAGGGAAGAGAGGGCAAAAGTACACACATCCTTTACTCAAGTAGAAGTACAGATACTCGTGTTTAAAAATGCTCTGGTAGAAGTAGAAGTACTGACTAAACTTCTTTACTCAAGTCAAAGTAAAGAGGCTTTAAAGTGTACTTCAGTAAAAAGTACCCATAACTAGCAGCTGCTTTAAAGAGTACCTGACCTCCCTTTATATCAATAGAACAATAATGTCATTGTTAGCTAATGAATGTTTCCATGCTGAACAACGGCAACATGACAACGTTTCCATTGGTCCCTCTTCTTTAGAGAAGACCAGGAAATGATGGATACACGGATCGTGTTCAAATCAATAGGCACGCAATGACTCTAAAGAATAATGATCACGCACCAAACACACATTCAGACTAAAGGAACCAGCTGTTTGGAGAATGAGAGAAGTAGAAAGTACAAGTATTTGTGTTCAACATGTGAGAAGTAGAAAGTACAGGTATTTGAGTTCAACATGTAAGAAGTAGAAAGTACAGGTATTTGTGTTCAACATGTAAGAAGTAGAAAGTACAGGTATTTGAGTTCAACATGTAAGAAGTAGAAAGTACAGGTATTTGAGTTCAACATGTAAGAAGTAGAAAGTACAGGTATTTGAGTTCAACATGTAAGAAGTAGAAAGTACAGGTATTTGAGTTCAACATGTAAGAAGTAGAAAGTACAGGTATTTGGGTTCAACATGTGAGAAGTAGAAAGTTCAGGTATTTGAGTTCAACATGTAAGAAGTAGAAAGTACAGGTATTTGAGTTCAACATGTGAGAAGTAGAAAGTACAGGTATTTGTGTTCAACATGTAAGAAGTAGAAAGTACAGGTATTTGAGTTCAACATGTAAGAAGTAGAAAGTACAGGTATTTGAGTTCAACATGTAAGAAGTAGAAAGTACAGGTATTTGGGTTCAACATGTGAGAAGTAGAAGTACAGGTATTTGAGTTCAACATGTAAGAAGTAGAAAGTACAGGTATTTGAGTTCAACATGTAAGAAGTAGAAAGTACAGGTATTTGAGTTCAACATGTGAGAAGTAGAAAGTACAGGTATTTGGGTTCAACATGTAAGAAGTAGAAAGTACAGGTATTTGAGTTCAACATGTGAGAAGTAGAAAGTACAGGTATTTGGGTCAACATGTGAGAAGTAGAAAGTTGGGTTCAACATGTGAGAAGTAAGAAAGTACAGGTATTTGGGTTCAACATGTGAGAAGTAGAAAGTACAGGTATTTGTGTTCAACATGTAAGAAGTAGAAAGTACAGGTATTTGAGTTCAACATGTGAGAAGTAGAAAGTACAGGTATTTGGGTTCAACATGTGAGAAGTAGAAAGTACAGGTATTGGTGTTCAACATGTAAGAAGTAGAAAGTACAGGTATTTGGGTTCAACATGTGAGAAGTAGAAAGTACAGGTATTTGGGTTCAACATGTGAGAAGTAGAAAGTACAGGTATTTGTGTTCAACATGTAAGAAGTAGAAAGTACAGGTATTTGAGTTCAACATGTGAGAAGTAGAAGTACAGGTATTTGGGTTCACATGTGAGAAGTAGAAAGTACAGGTATTTGTGTTCAACATGTAAGAAGTAGAAAGTACAGGTATTTGAGTTCAACATGTGAAGAAGTAGAAAGTTCAGGTATTTGTGTTCAACATGTAAGAAGTAGAAAGTACAGGTATTTGAGTTCAACATGTAAGAAGTAGAAAGTTCAGGTATTTGTGTTCAACATGTAAGAAGTAGAAAGTACAGGTATTTGAGTTCAACATGTAAGAAGTAGAAAGTTCAGGTATTTGTGTTCAACATGTAAGAAGTAGAAAGTACAGGTATTTGAGTTCAACATGTAAGAAGTAGAAAGTACAGGTATTTGGGTTCAACATGTAAGAAGTCAAAGTAAAAAGTCGTCAGAAAAATAAGTAGTGGAGTAAAGTACTGATACCAGGAAAATGTACTTAAGTATAGTAATGAAGTATCTGTACTCCACTACTTCCCCCCTCTGTCTGAGGGACAGCAGATGGGGGATGTGTTTGATTCTCTAATAGTTGCAGAGAAAGGTATATATTTCCAATTCACTGTTATTATGTTATCACACAAACTTTAAAAAATGACTTTGGAAGCCTTAAGCGTTTCTTCAGGCAATGTGTGTTCAACTGACAGCTGAGTGACACCTAGTTGAACTATTGAATGAAGCAAATGGGTTCAAGGTACAACTTTAAGGTACTTTGCATGCTTCTATTACACTAGATGTCAGAGGCAAATATAGCATACAAAATAAAATAAACCATCATGCAATGTAGATCCAATTTGAACTACTTCTTTAAACGTTGTTTGAAACTTTACATTGTCACTAATAAACATTAGTGTTTATCTTTTTTTATGGAAAGCAAGTTGTAACAATGGCTGGTAGATTAAAAAGTGGAGTCAAAGTATATAAAGTGACAGGAAATGGGAAATCAAATGAAAGTAACTCGAGGTTTGTACTCCGATTTAAAACAGAGACATGCTGTGTGATCAGTAAAAGTCCTGCGTTCAAAATCCTATTTAAGTAAAAACCTCAAAATATAAGCATCAAGTATAAAAGTAAAACTACCCATGATGCAATGGGCCCATTCAGAATCACATAGACATATTGCATTACTGGAATGTTATGCATGCACAGTTTCTATCATATTCTGTTTCTATTCTATTCCATGTTATTGTATTTACTTTCACTATTCTATCTGTTGTATTGAGTTGCTCTGTGACCTCAGACTTTCATTGTCACACAGCAGCTATGCACACATGACAGTAAAAGCCTTGAAACTTGAATTAATGTTGCAGCTCGTAAAGATGCAGCCAATTTCTATTACTTTATAGTTTCTGAAGTTCCTCCACTGTTTGAACCCCAGTACTTCCTGCAGAGAGGGTCCCATATGCAGCTGTAAACCCACACATCAAGCCCTCCCCTCCAGTCTGAACTCACCTTGCCCATGGTGGAGGTGTTTGATGCTCTTGCTGGATGTGCTTTGATGTGTTGATGCTCTTGCTCGTGATGCTGGTCCCCTGCAGTCTGGATGTTGCTCTGGCCCCTCACCTCTCCCTTTTTATACCCCCTCGTCCCCCCGTTTATAAACAGCAACAGCGCAGAGATAACAATCGCTTTGTCATGAAAATGAGATCCAAAAATTGAGTCAGTGATTCTAGCGCTATTCAGTTTTTCCAGAAAAGAGAGGAAGGATTACGGCATAATGGCCGGGCGAGGTAAACGTCCATTCACCCCCCACTTGCCTCCTGGCTGGGGGCAGTGCCAGCTCCACCAGCTCCACCAGCTCCACCAGCTCCACCAGCTCCACCAGCTCCACCAGCTGCACCAGCTGCACCAGCTCCACCAGCTCCACCAGCTGCACCAGCTGCACCAGCTCCACCAGCTCCACCAGCTGCACCAGCTGCACCAGCTCCACCAGCTCCACCAGCTGCACCAGCTCCACCAGCTCCACCAGCTCCACCAGCTGCACCAGCTCCACCAGCTCCACCAGCTGCACCAGCTCCACCAGCTCCACCAGCTCCACCAGCTGCACCAGCTCCACCAGCTCCACCAGCTGCACCAGCTCCACCAGCTCCACCAGCTGCACCAGCTCCACCAGCTCCACCAGCTCCACCAGCTGCACCAGCTCCACAGCGCACCAGCTGCACCAGCTCCACCAGCTCCACCAGCTCCACACCAGCTCCCCAGCTGCACCAGCTGCACCAGCTCCACCAGCTGCACCAGCTCCACCAGCTGCACCAGCTCCACCAGCTGCACCAGCTGCACCAGCTCCACCAGCTGCACCAGCTCCACCAGCTGCACCAGCTCCACCAGCTCCACCAGCTCCACCAGCTGCACCAGCTCCACCAGCTCCACCAGCTCCACAGCTGCACCAGCTCCACCAGCTCCACCAGCTCCACCAGCTGCACCAGCTCCACCAGCTGCACCAGCTCCACCAGCTCCACCAGCTCCACCAGCTGCACCAGCTCCACCAGCTGCACAAGCTCCACCAGCTCCACCAGCTCCACCAGCTGCACCAGCTCCACCAGCTCCACCAGCTCCACCAGCTGCACCAGCTCCACCAGCTGCACCAGCTCCCCAGCCCCACCAGCTCCACCACGCGCACCAGCTCCACCAAGCTGCACCAGCTCCACCAGCTCCACCAGCTCCACCAGCTCCACCAGCTCCACCAGCTCCACCAGCTCCACCAGCTCCACCAGCTCCACCAGCTCCACCAGCTCCACCAGCTCCACCAGCTCCACCAGCTCCACCAGCTCCACCAGCTCCACCAGCTCCACTTACTGCTGCCTTATGGAAGGATCCAGAGAGTAAACCACTGGTGGAGTCATTTGAAGTGCTTTATTGAAGTAAAAGTACTAATACCATCCAGATCTCTCAGGTCTTCTGGGACCGGTCAGCTTTCTGTCCCCAGAGTCAGAACTAAACCTGGAGAAGTTCAGTTATTATGCTCCAAACATCTAGAACAAACTCTGAAGACTTTTCTTTTTGCCGCTGCTTTTAATTGAACTATTCACATCTCACGCTGCACTGTAACTTTTATCCATGTGTTTTTTCTTTTAATGTTTATTGTATTATCTTTGCTTTTTGAATGACTGATTTGAAATGCCATTTTCTCAATGTCTGTAATTTCTGTAAAGCACTTTGAATTGCCTTGTGTTGAAAGGTGCTGTATTAATAAACTTGCCCAATACCTCTCTGAAGAAATACTCCATTACAAGTAAAAGCCTCCATTTAAACTCCTATAATATTGGTTGCAACCTGTGTGTTAAAGGAGAGGCATTCTTGCAGAAAAGGGCCCCTCTTGTGGGGGGTATATATGAATATATATTGCATTTAACTTATCATATATTCAGTGAAATGTTACTGCTGCCTTATTGAAGGGTCCAGAGAGAGTATACCACTGGTGGAGGTAGTTTTTAGGTCCTTTACTTAGGTAAAAGTATTAATACTTCACTTTAAAAAGACTCTATTTAAACTGATTTAAATAAGACTCCTATAATATTGTTTGCAAACTGTAAGTTATGAAAAGGAGAAGCATTCTTGCAGAAAAGGGCCCCTCTTGTATATTCTGAATATCCCATTAAACAAACGATATATGCAGTGAAGTTTATTAGCATTAAAGGTAGTAATATAAGTAAATAACAACAAACACAGATAGTGCTGGAGAGGGAAGGGAACCTTGAGGGCTTGTAATAAAGTAAGGATTTTTCATTTATCAAAAATCTATGGATACTCATTTTAACAAAATCAGAACGAAACTAATCAAAAAGTGTGTATTTGGAGTTCGTTTTACTGATGCAAACATTTTCAAGCAGCATTTTCGGGTCAAAGTGGAACTAATATAACTATTTAAATATTTGAGGGTTGTTTAGAATAATGCATTAAATGGTGGCAGAGTAAAAAGTGGAAGAATCAGAACGATGTGAATACTCAAGACAAGGTGCAGAATAAGACCAAACACAGCCTGGTTTTAGTCAAAATCTTTATTATTTCTTACATTAAAAAACGATATCGGGCTCTTCGTATAGAAACAGCAGAGAGGTGCGTGTGTTCAGACAGAGTTCAACAGCAGTAAGGAGTTCGTACATCTTCAGAAAAATACACACATCCCAGCTTTTACAGTAATATTCTCCTATGTCTAACTGCATTTTCTCCACCTTCAACTTGGCCTAGGTTATCGTACTGCAGCAGCTCTAGTGAATACAACGTGAGCCCTAATAGGAAAGTAAGAAGTTAATGTGCTGAAGTTCACTCACAGGTATTAAAGCAGGACATTGGGAAGATGTATGATAAATAATCTTACTATAATGCTCCAATATACATATTTAGCAAGGGGAACTGATACCAAAATATATATAGACAACAGCTGACAAACTGACCAATTGTTTAATCAAGCCTAATGTGGTGAGTCAGCTATTTCGGTTGTACTGAAGAGATTAAAGGAAAAGATCCACAAAATATAACCTTAATAACAACATAATACATATTTCCTTTCGACAGCTGGTAAAAAAAATAGACTAGGTTCAAAATTTGGCAAAACATACAGCTTGAAAACTTCAGTTCATGGAAAGCAACGTGTAGAAGTACAGCTAACCCCTTTCATACAAAGACAGTGTGGACGGTGCAATAATACAAATAAATGATGTTCATATATCTCCCTCTACTTTACTCTGTGGTGACTTCATCGTTTGTTTGAGTCTACAGCTCTCCTCAACAGCGTACTGAGCAACATGCCAAAACACTCCCTACTTAAACACGTAGCTGCCTTTTCTTCAGAAGAACTTGTACAGCAGCTTTCCACTTAAGAACAAGTGGGACATAAGGTTCCATAAAAGCTGGATCTACAGCTGCACACGTACCAGAGTAAGGTGTCACAAACCACACACTTCCTGTACAACAATACTCCAAATGTCACACAGAACACGTGTAGCCATAGCAGAGTGAATTCATACAAAAACAGACACATTTAGACATCTGGCAAACTGACCAATTGGTTAATCTCCTAATGTGGAGAATCAGCTATTTCGGTTGTACTGAGGAGATTAAAGGAAATATCCACAACATATTACAGAGCAGAAACATCTTTGCTTCAAATATTTCCTTTTGACAGCTGGTAAAAAAATGGACTGTGGGATAAATCATTTGGGACCTGCAAAGTGTAAAAAGACACACACTTCCTGTACAATAATACTCACACAGAACACATGTAGCCATTGTGCATTTCTGTGTTGCTACGTTAAGACCCGAATAAAGCTTCAACAAGCCATAGGCGACTGTCCCCACTGCCCGTCCAGTCCTCATGTGTCTGGTGTGATTGACTGCCTGTGTGTCTGTTGTCGAGTCCTTTAAAGAGTTCACAGCGGGGGGGATGAGGCTGTCCAGTTCCTGCCGGTGACCCGTTTCCAAAAGCCACTCGTGGAACTTGACTTCGACTAAATCCTGGAACTGCTGCTTCTGCTGCCTTCAGGACGAAAATTGAGACAAAGTTAAAACAGCAGGAAGGAGGTAAACTCCGCTTTTTGAACATTAAAGCATAGAGACACTACATAGTGATATACACCTGAACATCAGCAGGAGAGGACTCTTTAAAGTAGAGACACTACATACTGATATACACCTGAACACCAGCAGGAGAGGACTCTTTAAAGTAGAGACACTACATACTGATATACACCTGAACATCATCAGGAGAGGACTCTTTAAAGTAGAGACACTACATACTGATATACACCTGAACATCAGCAGGAGAGGACTCTTTAAAGTAGAGACACTACATACTGATATACACCTGAACATCATCAGGAGAGGACTCTTTAAAGTAGAGACACTACATACTGATATACACCTGAACATCAGCAGGAGAGGACTCTTTAAAGTAGAGACACTACATACTGATATACACCTGAACATCAGCAGGAGAGGACTCTTTAAGTAGAGACACTACATACTGATATACACCTGAACATCAGCAGGAGAGGACTCTTTAAAGTAGAGACACTACATAGTGATATACACCTGAACATCAGCAGGAGAGGACTCTTTAAAGTAGAGACACTACATACTGATATACACCTGAACATCAGCAGGAGAGGACTCTTTAAAGTAGAGACACTACATACTGATATACACCTGAACATCAGCAGGAGAGGACTCTTTAAAGTAGAGACACTACATACTGATATACACCTGAACATCAGCAGGAGAGGACTCTTTAAAGTAGAGACACTACATAGTGATATACACCTGAACATCAGCAGGAGAGGACTCTTTAAAGTAGAGACACTACATACTGATATACACCTGAACATCAGCAGGAGAGGACTCTTTAAAGTAGAGACACTACATAGTGATATACACCTGAACATCAGCAGGAGAGGACTCTTTAAAGTAGAGACACTACATACTGATATACACCTGAACATCAGCAGGAGAGGACTCTTTAAAGTAGAGACACTACATAGTGATATACACCTGAACATCATCAGTAGAGGACTCTTTAAAGTAGAGACACTACATACTGATATACACCTGAACATCAGCAGGAGAGGACTCTTTAAAGTAGAGACACTACATAGTGATATACACCTGAGCATCAGCAGTAGAGGACTCTTTAAAGTAGAGACACTACATACTGATATACACCTGAACATCAGCAGTAGAGGACTCTTTAAAGTAGAGACACTACATACTGATATACACCTGAACATCAGCAGGAGAGGACTCTTTAAAGTAGAGACACTACATACTGATATACACCTGAACATCAGCAGGAGAGGACTCTTTAAAGTAGAGACACTACATAGTGATATACACCTGAACATCATCAGTAGAGGACTCTTTAAAGTAGAGACACTACATACTGATATACACCTGAACATCAGCAGGAGAGGACTCTTTAAAGTAGAGACACTACATAGTGATATACACCTGAGCATCAGCAGTAGAGGACTCTTTAAAGTAGAGACACTACATACTGATATACACCTGAACATCAGCAGTAGAGGACTCTTTAAAGTAGAGACACTACATACTGATATACACCTGAACATCAGCAGGAGAGGACTCTTTAAAGTAGAGACACTACATACTGATATACACCTGAACATCAGCAGGAGAGGACTCTTTAAAGTAGAGACACTACATACTGATATACACCTGAACATCAGCAGGAGAGCACTCTTTAAAGTAGAGACACTACATAGTGATATACACCTGAACATCAGCAGGAGAGGACTCTTTAAGTAGAGACACTACATACTGATATACACCTGAACATCAGCAGGAGAGGGACTCTTTAAAGTAGAGACACTACATACTGATATACACCTGAACATCAGCAGGAGAGGACTCTTTAAAGTAGAGACACTACATAGTGATATACACCTGAACATCAGCAGGAGAGGACTCTTTAAAGTAGAGACACTACATAGTGATATACACCTGAACATCAGCAGGAGAGGACTCTTTAAAGTAGAGACACTACATACTGATATACACCTGAACATCAGCAGGAGAGGACTCTTTAAAGTAGAGACACTACATACTGATATACACCTGAACATCAGCAGAAGAGGACTCTTTAAAGTAGAGACAGTACATACTGATATACACCTGAACATCAGCAGGAGAGGACTCTTTAAAGTAGAGACACTACATACTGATATACACCTGAACATCAGCAGGAGAGGACTCTTTAAAGTAGAGACACTACATACTGATATACACCTGAACATCAGCAGGAGAGGACTCTTTAAAGTAGAGGACACTACATAGTGATATACACCTGAACATCAGCAGGAGAGGACTCTTTAAAGTAGAGACACTACATACTGATATACACCTGAACATCAGCAGGAGAGGACTCTTTAAAGTAGAGGACACTACATACTGATATACACCTGAACATCAGCAGGAGATGACTCTTTAAAGTAGAGACACTACATACTGATATACACCTGAACATCAGCAGGAGAGGACTCTTTAAAGTAGAGACACTACATACTGATATACACCTGAACATCAGCAGGAGAGGACTCTTTAAAGTAGAGACACTACATAGTGATATACACCTGAACATCAGCAGGAGAGGACTCTTTAAAGTAGAGACACTACATACTGATATACACCTGAACATCAGCAGGAGAGGACTCTTTAAAGTAGAGACACTACATAGTGATATACACCTGAACATCAGCAGGAGAGGACTCTTTAAAGTAGAGACACTACATACTGATATACACCTGAACATCAGCAGGAGAGGACTCTTTAAAGTAGAGACACTACATACTGATATACACCTGAACATCAGCAGGAGAGGACTCTTTAAAGTAGAGACACTACATACTGATATACACCTGAACATCAGCAGGAGAGGACTCTTTAAAGTAGAGACACTACATAGTGATATACAGCTGAACATCAGCAGGAGAGGACTCTTTAAAGTAGAGACACTATATACTGATATACACCTGAACATCAGCAGGAGAGGACTCTTTAAAGTAGAGACACTACATACTGATATACACCTGAACATCAGCAGGAGAGGACTCTTTAAAGTAGAGACACTACATACTGATATACACCTGAACATCAGCAGGAGAGGACTCTTTAAAGTAGAGACACTACATAGTGATATACACCTGAACATCAGCAGGAGAGGACTCTTTAAAGTAGAGACACTACATAGTGATATACAGCTGAACATCAGCAGGAGAGGACTCTTTAAAGTAGAGACACTAAATACTGATATACACCTGGACATCAGCAGGAGAGGACTCTTTAAAGTAGAGACACTACATACTGATATACACCTGAACATCAGCAGGAGAGGACTCTTTAAAGTAGAGACACTACATACTGATATACACCTGAACATCAGCAGGAGAGGACTCTTTAAAGTAGAGACACTACATACTGATATACACCTGAACATCAGCAGGAGAGGACTCTTTAATGTAGAGACACTACATACTGATATACACCTGAACATCAGCAGGAGAGGACTCTTTCAAGTAGAGACACTACATACTGATATACACCTGAACATCAGCAGGAGAGGACTCTTTAAAGTAGAGGACACTACATACTGATATACACCTGAACATCAGCAGGAGAGGACTCTTTAAAGTAGAGACACTACATACTGATATACACCTGAACATCAGCAGGAGAGGACTCTTTAAAGTAGAGACTCTACATACTGATATACACCTGAGCATCAGCAGGAGAGGACTCTTTAAAGTAGAGACACTACATACTGATATACACCTGAACATCAGCAGGAGAGGACTCTTAAAGTAGAGACACTACATACTGATATACACCTGAACATCAGCAGGAGAGGACTCTTTAAAGTAGAGACACTACATACTGATATACACCTGAACATCAGCAGGAGAGGACTCTTTAAAGTAGAGACACTACATAGTGATATACACCTGAACATCAGCAGGAGGAGGACTCTTTAAAGTAGAGACACTACATACTGATATACACCTGAACATCAGCAGGAGAGGACTCTTTAAAGTAAAGACACTACATACTGATATACACCTGAACATCAGCAGGAGAGGACTCTTTAAAGTAGAGACACTACATACTGATATACACCTGAACATCAGCAGGAGAGGACTCTTTAAAGTAGAGACACTACATACTGATATACACCTGAACATCAGCAGGAGAGGACTCTTTAAAGTAGAGACACTACATACTGATATACACCTGAACATCAGCAGGAGAGGACTCTTTAAAGTAGAGACACTACATACTGATATACACCTGAACCTCAGCAGGAGAGGACTCTTTAAAGTAGAGACACTACATACTGATATACACCTGAACCTCAGCAGGAGAGGACTCTTTAAAGTAGAGACACTACATACTGATATACACCTGAACCTCAGCAGGAGAGGACTCTTTAAAGTAGAGACACTACATACTGATATACACCTGGACATCAGCAGGAGAGGACTCTTTAAAGTAGAGACACTACATACTGATATACACCTGAACATCAGCAGGAGAGGGACTCTTAAAGTAGAGACACTACATGCTGATATACACCTGAACATCAGCAGGAGAGGACTCTTTAAAGTAGATACACTACATACTGATATACACCTGAACATCAGCAGGAGAGGACTCTTTAAAGTAGAGACACTACATACTGATATACACCTGAACATCAGCAGGAGAGGACTCTTTAAAGTAGAGACACTACATACTGATATACACCTGAACATCAGCAGGAGAGGACTCTTTAAAGTAGATACACTACATACTGATATACACCTGAACATCAGCAGGAGAGGACTCTTTAAAGTACAGACACTACATACTGATATACACCTGAACATCAGCAGGAGAGGACTCTTTAAAGTAGAGACACTACATACTGATATACACCTGAACATCAGCAGGAGAGGACTCTTTAAAGTAGAGACACTACATGCTGATATACACCTGGACATCAGCAGGAGAGGACTCTTTATGGATGATCCAGTTCTATTTAGACCGTCTTAAATGATTCCACTTGTTAATAAAAAAGTTCCTGATTTGCTACTCACTTGTTGAGCGGGGTCTCCAACACCGTTTTCTGCCAGTTCTGGATCCTCTTCTCCTTCTCCTCCACCGCCGCCTGGTACAGAGGAGGTAGCCCCCCCCGGCACCTCACACGTGTCGCCCTCCATCTCGAAAGGCACCACAACGGTGTTAAACTCAGCTGGAGGTAGCAGGCGGTAACAGAGAGGGGCCGGGTTGGACGAGGAGTTGAGTGAGGGGTTAAAAAGCCCCTCTGTACCCACAAGTAAGGGTCTATCCCAGGCGTTTGGGACCACAGCGAGCCCCACGCTGCCCATGTGATCCTCCAGAGAGGGGTAGAAGGTGTGGAAAGGCCCCAGAGTAATGTCTGTGTTTCCTGGGAGGAGCAAAGGTCGAGTCGGGGTCAAAGTGTGGATGGTGCAACGCGAGGAGACCCCGATGGCGATCCGGCCCGACACACACATCACACGCAGGTTCTGGCAGCTGTGGATGTGAACGCTGGTCTCAACAGGACCAAGAACAACGGTGCAGTCTCGACATTTGTCCAAACTCACTGATCTGGAGGAGAAGACGCAAAATGACCACACAAGCCACGTGTTAAGAAGTGCTACAAACACAATACAAAATAAAAACATAGAATAAAATATACATGATAGATGAACTGTGTCGTTAAATCCGTGACACAGGGAATATTATGATATGATAAGATTTTTAAAAGCAGTAAAATGCATTTCCTGTGTCAGAGATTGCTAAAAAATGACATAATCCAGGGTTCATACACTTTTTCACCAATGATTTTCAATGACTTCTCCATGACTTTTCCATGACTTCTCCATGACCTTTACCTAATTTTCCATGACCAAAATAATAACTCTTTCTCAGCGGTTCCACTGAAAATGGTTTATTTTAATATGGAACAGGAAAATAAGGTCTGCATATGAAACATGTTGTGCCTATCTAAAACAAATCAAGGCTTACTAGCTTGTCGCTAAAGCAACTGAAATCTCTCACCAGCAAAACACCCCGTCAGTTAAATGCCATTTTACGTTTCATTACTATACGATACAGTATTTATTATCATTATAGTATTACTATTTCGGCGATTAGATAAAATATAAATTATATTTGATGCAACTTTAGATACATTTCAATGACTTTTCCAAAACTTTGGGAAAAATATTGTTTTCCAAAACTTTTCCAGGGCCTGGAATTAGCATTTGGAATTTCCATGACTTTTCCAGGTTTTTAATGACCGTAGGAACCCTGATAATCATAAGGATAAAAACATATAAAACGTGTTCAATTGGTCCTAAAAATAACGTGTAAGGCCACTTAAAGTGCAAAACGTTTTTATGGTGCATACAATACTAATATTCTCAAATAAAAATAGAGACAAAGAGACAAAGCTAAATACATGTAATTCTTGTTATGGATTTTTTTATTTATGGGTAACAGTTAACATTTCTAATTTATTTAAGTGAAATGTGTTTTTTATTTTCAACTTTTTTACATTTCTTTCAGCAATGTCTCTTTGCGTATTATACGTCTGATTATCGTTACTGTAATATGTATTTTCAGACACATTTTATTTATTTTTTAAACATTCAAAACATGGGGTACTTTTAGCCTGTTTTTCAGGCCTCAGGCTCGAAAATGACATGCCCTGAACAAATGACCATAACTTAACTTCTAAAAGGGTTAAATTAATAATCTTTTTTCTTACAGCAATGATAAACCTGTGAGTTGGATGTAGAAAAGTCAGAATCAATATAGATGTTTTTATTTTAAAGTAAATTCAGATTGAACATAGTAAAAAAATGTAAATGATAGTGTCCGTCCAAAAAAGAAAACATTACTTATAGTGAAAACCACCCTTGAACGATGGGATAGTAGACTAAAAGCTTTAGGAATACAAACTTTAACATATAATAAGTACCCTGTATCAAGATTGATGCAAAACAAGTGAAATTTTACCTTTTTAGAGAGATTTAGCACAAAAAAAACACTTCTGGGGTCATTTGGGTGGATTTTCCTTATCTCTGGAACCCATTGGTCGATTTTGATGATTGCCACCTCTTTTGAACCGTTAGAGCCAATAGGATCGAGGGGAAGTTCCTAAAATCCATCTAAACATAACCCATTGGTGAATGAGTGCTGCGTAGCCAGAATGCCCAAAACCGGAAGCTGTCATAATAGCTATATATGAAAACTCAGTTTTTTCCATAAATATGACGATGGATTATCAGAAATCATTTCAAAGTGACAGACAGATTAGATTAACCTATGGATTAACCTTCAGCAGCGTTTTTATCGTTTTAATGCCAGAACAAAAGACAATGTCCCGTTTTTCCTCCGTAAAGCTACGCTGTGTGATGTCTGGGTTTGCTTCCCCTGCCGCGGGTTCTGATCGCTCAGTGAGGATCCTAATACCCCTAGAATCTGTGGAATCTCAGCTTGCTAGCTGATATCTTGTTTGTGCAGACCCGATAAGTAATAAAGTATTTCTACCGTGAGTTCTGTGCTAAGTGCGTTAGCATTTTTCCGCTCAGGGCTCATTTAGACGCTTCTTGTGAGACTTGTGTTTTGTTTCGGTAAAAATGGTTTGTATCGTCAGTTAGCTGAGTTTCTTCCCGTTAAGTGGGTATGACACATTCATAGGTTTTTAAATGTTAACCTGTTAAGCCCCAAAAGGTCCCCGCCGGCGGGTACCCTTGACACTGTGTCTCAGGGGATCTTTATATTTAAGAACCTATTAATGTGTTATACCAGATTAACGGGAATAATCTCAGCTAACTGACGATATAAACCATTTTTACCAAAACAAAACACAAGTCTCATAAGAAGCATCGAAATGACCCCTGAGCGAAAAATGCTAACCTATTACTGCACCGATAATCACTCCTAGCTCCCTTATTACTTATCCTAGGTGCACATCCAACACATCGTTTATGATCGCAAGGAGACACAGAATCTAACGGTGCCCACCTCAACACTGAAAGATACAAACTCACAACGTTATCAACAAAAACGTACATCAAAACATATGGAGCTAGTTAGCAAAAAACGGCAAAATGGCTCACCTGTGTGGTAGTCTGGTCAAAAGTGGTCTTCAATGGCATTAAAACGATAAAAAACGATGCTGAAGTTAATCCATAGGTTAATCCAATGTGTCGGTCACTTTGAATGATTTCTGATAATCCATGAGCAATAAATCTGCTTTTCGGTTTTGAGATGTCAGACCTAGAGACAGCTTCGCTCTGGAGCAAAACAGGGTGCGTGAAGCCCCCACCTTTTCGTTTTGCCATGTGTGTGTGTGGGGAGATTCCCCTTCGATTCTATTGGCTCTAACGGTCAGAAAGAGATGTCAAAATCAAAATCGTTTTTTTTTGCTAAATCTGTCTTGTTTTGCATCAATCTTGATACAGGGTACTTATTATATGTTGTACTTTGGATTCCTAAAGCTTTTAGTCTACAAACATCATCCAAGGTTAGTTTTCACTATAAGTACAAAATATTCTTTGGACGGACACTATAATTTACAGTGTTTTACCATGTTCAATCTGAATGTTCTTTAAAATTAAAAACATCTATATTGATTCTGACTTTTCTACATCCAACTCACAGGTTCATCATTACTTTGAGAACAAAGATTATTAATGTAACCCTTTTAGAAGGGAAGATATGGTGATTTGTTCTGGGAATGTCATTTTCGAGCCTGAAACCTGAAAAACAGGCTCGGGGCCTAGAAGCCCTGAGACACAGTTTCGTGAAAAAAAAAAAAAGATAAAATGTAATACCTCCCCTCCTAAAACTCCAGACCTTTTTAGACATGTTTAGACCTTGAACATCAAAAAGAAATGTAAGACTTTAGAAGGATCCACGGGGCAGAGCAGCGTACCTGAGAGGAGAGAGCAGGTAGATGAAGGCGTCGGCACAGCGGTGGATTTTGATGTTGGCTCCGTTCAGCTTGTCTGAGGTTTTAGCCAAAGTCTGTTTGAAGACCTGCGACATTAGAACCATCTTACTGCCGGGGGGGGCCGTGTGGGTGTTCCTGGCTATTCTGGCTCTCTTCATGGACCCCTCCACTAAAGAGCACACGCAGAAAACAAAGACACATGTAGATCAACAGGAAGAGAAGGAGTAATGACTGTAAACAAACACACCCTGACATTGAAGTATTTCCCTTCAAAACTACTGTAGGGTCGTTTTGTGTTTTTGCAATTTCTGAAATGATCTCTCTTCAAGGGATTACTATAATAAATGAATAACAATAAACAAATCAGTAGGAAAAAAGGGCATAAAGCAAATTATGAACATTCATTTATAGTACAAATGTAACAGATGACGGACACATAATGAATTCTTATACACACAAAAATGGTCATCTAAACATGAAGGACACTGTTCAGGAACTAGTTGATGCTCTGTATGTGATGACTACTTCCATTCTGGAGAGGATCAGAAACACATGGATCCTGATGTTGAAGCTCAAGCCGGTGACGAGTGATATTTTTCTAACCAAATGCAATACATAGACCCTCACTCCAGTAGACTTCAGGGTACCTTGTTGAGCCCAGGCCAGCTTCTTCCCTGACTGCAGGCAGGCGGTGATCCCAAAGGGGTTGAGAGCGAGTCTGTTCTGCAGGCAGAGGAGCAGCTTCTGCAGGGGGAAGCAGCGGCTGGCGGAGCAGAACCCGGCCTGGGTCTGCAGCGGGGGTTTGGTGAGCAGCCGGTGGACGGGCTGCACCGCTCTGCCGGGACCCGCTGAGCCCTCCAGGAGGAGAGCCAAGCTGCGCAGAGCATCCAGGGAGATCTGGAGATATAGAATATACAGGGATAATGCAGGGAACAGAAACATTGAGTGCTAATACACACAAACACACAGTGCCACGTTGCTCAGCCTCTCAGTACGCAACAAGATGGATTTGTGATGATGAAACTGACAAGTTATATGCATTAAAGCAAGATTTTTAACAAAGAAAGACTAACTCAATTATTCAAATTGAGGATTTTTGCTCTATCCTACCCTCGTTCAGACTTTATAACACTAAAAGTGCCAAAAGACATTTTAAGCTTCATTTTCAAAATCTCAAAAGCAGTTTTGTATGTTAAAAAGACTGAATGCATCAGACAGATGGTAATGGTTTTAGAGTCTTATTTCAGTCAAAAATATCAAGTAACAAATATAATGATTGTATCTGCAAAACATAGAGTAGCCGTTACGTAAGAAAATATTTGAAAGCTGAGGAGAGATGCAGCTTCGGCGGATAATTCTCTGTGCTTTCATCCCTATGAGAGACCATTGCCATATGCTACAACGTTTTAAATCTGGATTATAAACGTATTACTGTTAGAAAAATATCACTCCTCACTACTTCCAGAATGGAAGTAGTCCTCACATACAGAGCATCAACTAGTTTCTGAACAGTGTCCTTCACATGCTGATAGACAAGAGAGGGAGGTACACAGTCACAAGATGGAGGAATGCCGGGTCTTAGGTAATCATACATCCTGTCATGTACAAAATCCTGAGTTTTTTTCTCAAAATGTTGGCTTTTTTTTGAAAATCTCAAAATTCTGACTTTTTCTCAAAATTCTGACTTTTTCTCAAAATCTCAAAATTTGGACTTTTTCTCAAAATCTGGATTTTTTCTCAAAATCTGGACTTTTTCTCAAAATCTCTTAATTTGGACTTTTTCTCTAAATTTGGACTTTCTCTCAAAATCTCAACATTTTCTCAAAATTCTCTCAAAATTCTGACTTTTTCTCAAAATCTCAAAATTCTGACTTTTTCTCTAAATTCTCACACAGTCACAAGATGGAGGAATAGAAAGCAGTATTCAATGTTTACTTCAGATTAGCTCCACGTCAGAAATGAGCATGCTTGATGTCTCTCTCCATAGAGGCTGAATCATCATGTTAATCACATAGCTATCATATGCCTCAAACAGTCCTGATGCTCTTCTAGGTAATCACACATCCTGGCATGTTCACAGCTACAGTTGGGATACCTTTGTTATCATGTGACTCTCATATTGGAACATTCACTATTTCCCCAACGCCTGTCCACACACCTGGCAGCCTCTGAGCACCTGTCCAGACTGAGACAGCTGACCCGGCTCCACCAGCAGCTCCAGGATCTCTCCCAGGTGACTCTGCACAAAGGACAGGTGGGCCTGATCGTCCCAGTTCTGCAGAACCAGAAGGAGACAAGAAAAAGTGTCACAAAACAAGGAATTCCAGTGCTTAAAACATGATTGTGTCGATGCTTTGCACTGGGCATGAGGTATTGCAATCATGTAATGAGTGTTTCTGTAGGAGCCATATGTTAAAATGTACAATTTGATATATTATGTAGATATATTTGAACATGGTAATCCTTTGTTATTAGTATTTTTATATAATTTATTTAAACCAGCCGTCGTAAAATTGACGTTATAGCCGACCGCAGCTGCTGGTAATTAGAAGTGAGAAGGAGAAAAGAAGCACGGAGCAATATCGTTTTTTGACCAGTGAAAATATGTGTTTGTACTGATATCTTTTGTTTAAAGGGGACCTATCATGTAACATGCACTTTTTGATGTCTTCTATACATATGTGTCCCCGGTGTGTCAGGGAACTCACGCAGCGTCAGAAAATAAAACCCTCTCTTTTCCTCCGTACCCAAATCTCTAAAAACGGGGAACAACGGAGCTGATCCAGATCTGCGTCCGATATGACGTAATATCTGAAATGTGGACCCACGGCCCAATCAGAAACGTTGCTGTCAGAAACAATGCCCGACTGTTTTGGACGTAATATGGTCTGTGTTTACATTAGCATCGCTAACACTCAGAGCTAACCTGTACTGGAGAGCATGGTTGCATTCCAATAGTCCATTTAGCTTAGGAACCTTCCTAACGGAGTGAAATGACCCGGAAGTCCCTCAGTGGCAGCCATGATAAGTGCCGTTCCAATTCTCCAAATGAAAGGAAAGGAGGTTTCAAACTTCCTTTATAACCTCCTTTAGCTTAGGAACCACTGGACCTCCCTCACTGAAAGGAGAGGAGAAAATGCTGCCCCACAATGCATTGCAGCCGCAGCATTTGCCGTCACTCAACAGTCGGCCGTTCACGGAAACAACCGATTATGACGGAGAAATGATATCATGAAAGTTACGGTGCTTATTAAGCATTTTAAAACGTATGTGGTAAGTTGCCAAAGTGCTTTTTTCTGAACGTTCATCAGTATTATAATCAAAGAGAGAAATATGAACGTTAGTTTTTACTGAAATGATCAAATAAAGTCAACATTTCACAGTCTTTACTGAGCTGTGTGGGGTTTGTTCAACTTTTAAAAGATGTTTGAATGGTGATGTACACAGTGATAGATGTTAAGGACTAACGTTTATAATAAATACATTTGTATTGATTTTAAGATCTTTTCATCAATCATACGTATTGGGATCATTTGTATTAATGAGGACCGGAGGGAGAGGGGGACGAGCATAAGTTTCACTTTCCTTTTTTATTTCAATTCCAACTTTGGTCCTGAAGAATATGTTTCTCTGTTGTCCACGTTCATAAAGCATAAAGCAACAGCGTCAGAGCACGGTGCAGAGTCTCTAGATGAGTCCCTCGTTCTTATTGAACATCCATGTTGTAGTCCGCTGTATAGAGAACTGTAGTTTCCATGGTTACCCCACAGCAGCAGACGCACATTCAGGACGTCCGCTGGCGCATCATAAACACGTGAGATAGTGAAAGTGCAGTCGGATTCTCAAAAGTACGCAGTCTCTTCTCCTAAGTCCTTTTGAATTCTCCTATCCACTATCCCTTAACCCCGTGACGTTTCACTCAGAGGTCAAGGAATAGACGATAGGGTTAGAATTTAGGAGCTGATTTTTGGATTATCGGAACGCAACCCATGTGTGTGAAGAAGCAGGAAGTAGAAAGGAACTCACCTTGTGGTATAACCGGCAAGAGAGAAAGCCTTTGAGCTCCAAACTGTTTCAGAGAGAATCCTTGATGATCCATGATATGGCGTTTCATCACGGCAGTAGTGAAACAGAGGGATATGAGGCATGGCTAGAATGGGTGATCTGTTTGGTATTTTGAGCAAAACACTTCATAGAAATGTTTTTTATATATCTGAGAAATAAAAATGGCATGATAGGTGCACTTTAAGTAAAGAGTCAACCAAACTTTCCTGAGACGTATTTTTGTTGGAGTCAAGCTTATTGCTACTTGTGGATATATGGATTTTTTTATTAGACGGAACTAGTTTCTTTAGTTTTCCATCTAAACATGGGGTCATTCGTGATGTTTTGTGTTCCTCACCAACGTTTCCCCTTTTTATCAAAGACGGGAACTTACATTTTAATTCCCATGTTTTCTTTTCTCCATTTACAAAATGTTTCCATTCACAGCTATCATTGAACCAATTTCTTATATTTTGTTTAATTATTGCTACTCTACGAATAAGTCTTTCTTGCTGTTTTCTCACAGGGTTTTTCCAAGTAGTAGAATATGTGTTTTTTTATTTAGGGTAATACCAAAAACACTGACGGTTCTCTGTACAGATTTGGAGAAAAATGCAATACATACATCTTTTTGATTTGATTTGAATGTGTAAATCAATAACACAAAAATAAATAATAATAATTAAATATGAGAATTATTATACTATGAAAACTTAAGCAGTGTCAAATTGATAAACAAAAATATTACTGATTTACAAATTATATATAAACAAATTAACTACCTAATTACACATCCGAAAAGGGGTGGGAAGAAGTTTACACTTATTTACTTAATCCCACCCCCTTCTCCCAAAAACTAAATTATTAACAAAAATATATTTCAGTATCATCAGCAGCGTTTCCGCCGTCTTGCCGTCATTTGACATTCAGCTCGAAACGCCCTGAACTCGAGCCGAGGGCGTCCAAAAAAATTAGTCATTGGAGCGAAGATCGAGTTTTTATCGCTCGAAGTAACGAAAAGGAAAAAGGACATCCCTCTGCTGGAGGCGCAAAGGAGTCTGGTGGGATTATTTTCGCCGCCAGCAAAAAAGCGTGTTCCTGTGACAGAAAGTGTCCTGCCGGTGAGCCTTGACGGGGGGTGCGAGTGGAGCACGTGCGTGAACTGAAATAGCCGGCTCTTCCCATCACTAATACGTTAAGTATCTATAACTTAAGGGACGGCTCAATTCAAAATTCAAGTCACGTGACACAACGTTTCTGTAGTTTCTCCAGGTAACAGACCTTGTTCTGGGAGCTGGTCTTGGCCTCTCGGTCCGAGCGAGACGGAGATCGAGCTCGCATGCTGGGCCACTCTTCCCCGATCAGAGAGGTGCGAAGAGAGACACGGTTCAGCTGCTGGATGTAGAGGAAGAGGAGGAACTGCAGCGTGTCCACAGATAACTGGAGGAGAAAGAAGAAAGCGTCTATCAATGTGTACTCAAAGGCAACAACAACAATAAGCTCTACCTGGGGAATAACACAACAAAACAAAAGAGTGAGACATGATTCAAAAACACGAGACAATAAGATAGCATCAAATTCTGAGGTAAAGTGAGTCATTTGGCACAATTCTACTAGTGAGGTTACGCGCCCGAACGATTCTTTTGAACGGCTCTTTGTACGAACGAAGGGAACCGAGTCGTACTTGGTGAGAGCCGTTATTTTTATCGTTGGTTCACTGCCTGCCATAAATCCACTCGCCTTTACGTGAACAGTGATAAAGCTTGATTTTGTTCCTCAAGCGTATTCCGTGAAGACCCGCCCCTACTCTGATTGGTTAGGTTTAGGCACGAGGAGTGAGATGCTGTGGGTTAGGGTTAGCTAGGGATGCATATCGTTGACTTTTTTACGATACCGATACCACTGAACGATACCGATACTCGACCGATACATATCGTGATACTTTCATGTTGCATAAGGGAAAAATTAAAGCGCTTTATGATATAGTTCACATGTCAAATGAATATTACAATTAATTGTGGGACTTCGACCTTTTAGTACTGAACAAACAATGAAAAACACGTTTGACAATACGGGCTTGAAGACCGTACATTCCTGTACAAATGTTTTGAGAGGTTGGATGTGTTGCCGCCTTTCCCAGAAATAAACGTATTGCAGTGGTTACAGACCCCACCATTCAGACTGGCAGTGGTTACAGACCCCACCATTCAGACTGGCAGTGGTTACAGACCCCACCATACAGACTGGCAGTGGTTACAGACCCCACCATACAGACTGGCAGTGGTTACAGACCCCACCATTCAGACTGGCAGTGGTTACAGACCCCACCATTTCAGACTGGCAGTGGTTACAGACCCCACCATTCAGACTGGCAGCAGTGGTTACCAGACCCCACAATACAGACTGGCAGTGGTTACAGACCCCACCATTCAGACTGGCAGTGGTTACAGACCCCCACCATTCAGACTGGCAGTGGTTACAGACCCCACCATTCAGACTGGCAGTGGTTACAGACCCCACCATTCAGACTGGCAGTGGTTACAGACCCCACAGTGGTTACATACCCCACCATTCAGACTGGCAGTGGTTACAGACCCCCACCATTCAGACTGGCAGTGGTTACAGACCCCACCATTCAGACTGGCAGTGGTTACAGACCCCCACCATTCAGACTGGCAGTGGTTACAGACGCCCACCATACAGACTGGCAGTGGTTACAGACCCCACCATTCAGACTGGCAGTGGGTACAGACCCCACCATTCAGACTGGCAGTGGTTACAGACCCCACCATTACAGACTGGCAGTGGTTACAGACCCCACCATTCAGACTGGCAGTGGTTTACAGACCCCACCATTACAGACTGGCAGTGGTTACAGACCCCACCATTCAGACTGGCAGTGGTTACAGACCCCACCATACAGACTGGCAGTGGTTACAGACCCCACCATACAGACTGGCAGTGGTTACAGACCCCACCATACAGACTGGCAGTGGTTACAGACCCCACCATACAGACTGGCAGTGGTTACAGACCCCACCATTACAGACTGGCAGTGGGTTACAGACCCCACCATACAGACTGGCAGTGGTTACAGACCCCACCATACAGACTGGCAGTGGTTACAGACCCCACCATATACAGAACGGTGGCAGTGGTTACAGGACCCCACCATACAGACTGGCAGTGGTTAAAGACCCCACCGTACAGAACTGGCAGTGGTTACAGACCCCCACCATACAGGACTGCATGTGGATACAGACCCCCACCATACAGCCTGGCAGTGGGTTACAGACCCCACCGTAACAGACTGGCGAGTGGGTAGACCCAGACCCCACCATACAGACTGGCGAGTGGTTACAGAACCCCAACCATACAGGACTGGCAGTGGATACCAGACCCCACCCCTACAGGACTGGGCAGTCATATGCAGCCACACTTTAGATTTTTGTGCCGACCATCGAGCTAATGAAAAAACTAAAGCTAACCGAAAGGCTCAGACCGTTCGGGAGGAAGGTGAAGGGCGTTGCGTGGCAATCAAGCCAATCACCGAAGCCGTTGCAAGACGCGCAATCTGATTGGCTGGCAGTTTGGGCTTGAGTTTATGGATATTACGCCTAACTTTATATAAAACATTTTTTTAAAGAAAATCGAAAAAGTATCGAAAACCGGATCTGATTTCGGTACGGTATACCGTAGCCGCCAGTAACCGGTATTTCGGTAATACCGGGAACCGGTATGCACCCCTAGGGTTAGCCAGAGGCAGAGTAGGGGTGGGTCTTAACGGAATAGGCATGAGAGAGAGAAGTCATAACAAGTGGTACAGGTAGACGACGCAGGTGAAAAAATGAGCCAAACGCAATTTGGATGCACTACAACAAAAACATAGGCAATGATAAAGCGGATTGCAACATTTGTAAAGCCAAAATATAATTTAAAGCAGGGTCAACAAATAATCTCCACCGCAACTTTAAAAATAAACGGTTCTTTTGAACGGCTCTCTGAAAGGAACGGAGCCATAAGATCCGGCTCCCTTCAAAGAGTCCTAACTCCCATCACTAAATTCTACTCCACCCTTTTCTATATTTGTACCCGGCTCCTTTGTTGGTCCAGCTCGCTTTTGTTCGAGCACTGGGAGAGACACTCGGCCCACTCCAGCCTCTCCTCTGGAACGTGGCCTATGAGGAGGTCGAAGGTCTCAAAGTAGAGCCAGGCCAGGTCTTCATGGAGCTGCAGCTTTCCACAGGCAATGTGCCTCCACATGGGCCAGCTCATGGAGGGGAAGCAGCCGTCACGCGTTCGCACGTACGACGCCATCTTTCTGAGATAGTGCAGGCTGAGTTTGGACGGGGGAGCCACCTGCAATGGCATTCATTCCAGTTATGTACAATATTGATTGTTGTGCTTTTATGTATGTCATAATGTGTGCATATGTATACATGTGTCTCTTGATTGTGTGTATATATATATATATATTTGTTGTTTGTTTGTTTATTCCACACATGGCACTTATTTTAAAACAAAACATGTACACTTATACTGTTATAGCGCATGGTGGAAAGGAGCAGGGAGAAGAACATCTTATTTGACCTGCCCCTTCTTACAAAAGTAATAACAAACAAAACAAAACAAATGAATTAACCATTAAAACGTAAAATTAAAGCAATATTCTTTCAGTTGCTTACAAATACTGAGACATAAAACCAGAACACAATCAAAAGTCAACTTCATACTGTCTAATTACACTTTCTTTATACATTTTCTTTAACATAAAAATGTTCTTACAGCCCTTTAAATCATTCGGCAAAGAATTCCACTTCTTTCTATATTTGTATTCTGGATTGTGGGAGACGGTATTTCGATCTCTCTGTCTGTACACACAAACTGAAAGATTGACAATAAAGTTGACTTTGGACTTATGTTACAAAATGTGCATTACCACCAGGGCAACTTGTATCATATGAAATAGATTGACGGGTATATTCACCTGCAGGGCTCCCAGTAAGAAGGGCTCCATGCGCGGCCAGATGCTCACAGCGTCTGCCTCCATGTCTGAAGAGAAAGGAGACAAAACAAAGATATGGAAGTCCGACCCATGATACACTGATGTGCACTAATTTAAAAAGGTCCCTTATCATACTGTTTTTCATCAATATATCACAGGTCTCAGATATATACAGAACCTGTCTCTGATTGGCTGAAACACCAAACAGATCATTGCAGCATTACCCATAATCCCCTCTGTTTCAGCTCTGTTTCCAAAGTGCTGATTCTCTGTCTGTTACTTTAGATGAAAACAAGGAGCCCCTCCCCACGCCCCTCTGAGAGACATGTGGTTACAAAGAACTCAATGGTGCTCTAGGAGGAGATTCAGGTGATAAGGGGGGGGGGGGGGGGTTACCTTGGTTGCTGATTGGCTAATGGTTACACAAGACAAAACATCGTTATGACATCATAAAGTGGCCAAAATCTGATCAGCTCATTTTCAGACAGGTTTTTATAGAAATGGATCAAAAAGAGAGAGAATTTTTGTTCCTGAAACTTTCAGAGTCTCTTTCCACAGAGGGGACACATGTTGATGTAGAAGAGACATGAAGAAGAGGGGACGCATGTTGATGTAGAAGAGACATGGAGAAGAGGGGACACATGTTGATGTAGAAGAGACATGGAGAAGAGGGGACACATGTTGATGTAGAAGAGACGTGAAGAAGAGGGGACACGTGTTGATGTAGAAGAAACATGAAGAAGAGGGGACACATGTTGATGTGGAAGAGACATGAAGAAGAGGGGACACATGTTGATGTAGAAGAGACATGAAGAAGAGGGGACACATGTTGATGTAGAAGAGACATGGAGAAGAGGGGACACATGTTGATGTAGAAGAGACATGAAGAAGAGGGGACACATGTTGATGTAGAAGAGACATGAAGAAGAGGGGACACATGTTGATGTAGAAGAGACATGGAGAAGAGGGGACACATGTTGATGTAGAAGAGACATGGAGAAGAGGGGACACATGTTGATGTAGAAGAGACATGAGAAGAGGGGACACATGTTGATGTAGAAGAGACATGGAGAAGAGGGGACACATGTTGATGTAGAAGAGACATGAAGAAGAGGGGACACATGCTGATGTAGAAGAAACATGAAGAAGAGGGGACACATGTTGATGTAGAAGAGACATGAAGAAGAGGGGACACATGTTGATGTAGAAGAGACATGAAGAAGAGGGGACACATGTTGATTGTAGAAGAGACATGAAGAAGAGGGGACACATGTTGATGTAGAAGAGACATGAAGAAGAGGGGACACCATGTTGATGTAGAAGAGACATGAAGAAGAGGGGACACATGTTGATGTAGAAGAGACATGAAGAAGAGGAGACACATGTTGATGTAGAAGAGACATGAAGAAGAGGGGACACATGTTGATGTAGAAGAGACAGTGAAGAAGAGGGGACACATGTTGATGTAGAAGAGACGTGAAGAAGAGGGACACATGTTGATGTAGAAGAGACGTGAAGAAGAGGGGACACATGTTGATGTAGAAGAGACGTGAAGAAGAGGGGACACATGTTGATGAAGAAGAGACATGAAGAAGAGGGGACACATGTTGATGTAGAAGAGACGTGAAGAAGAGGGGACACATGTTGATGTAGAAGAGACGTGAAGAAGAGGGGACACATGTTGATGTAGAAGAGACATGAAGAAGAGGGGACACATGTTGATGTAGAAGAGACATGAAGAAGAGGGGACACATGTTGATGTAGAAGAGACATGAAGAAGAGGGGACACATGTTGATGTCGAAGAGACATGAAGAAGAGGGGACACATGTTGATGTAGAAGAGACATGAAGAAGAGGGGACACATGTTGATGTAGGAGAGACATGAAGAAGAGGGGACACATGTTGATGTAGAGAGACATGAAGAAGAGGGGACACATGTTGATGTAGAAGAGACATGAAGAAGAGGGGACACATGTTGATGTAGAGAGACATGAAGAAGAGGGGACACATGTTGATGTAGAAGAGACATGAAGAAGAGGGGACACATGTTGATGTAGAAGGAAGAGACATGAAGAAGAGGGGACACATGTTGATGTAGAAGAGACATGAAGAAGAGGGACACATGTTGATGCTAGAGAGACATGAAGAAGAGGGGACACATGTTGATGTAGAAGAGACACGAAGAAGAGGGGACACATGTTGATGTAGAAGAAGACATGAAGAAGAGGGGACACATGTTGATGTAGAAGAGACATGAAGAAGAGGGGACCACATGTTGATGTGGAAGAGACATGAAGTAAGGAGGGGACACATGTTGATGAGAAGAAGACTGAAGAAGAGGGGACACATGTTGATGTAGAAGAGACATAAAGAAGAGGGGACACATGTTGACTGTAGAAGAGACATGAAGAAGAGGGGACACATGTTGATGTAGAAGAGACATGAAGAAGAGGGGACACATGTTGATGTAGAAGAGACATGAAGAAGAGGGGACACATGTTGATGTAGAAGAGACACGAAGAAGAGGGGACACATGTTGATGTAGAAGAGACATAAAGAAGAGGGGACACATGTTATGTAGAAGAGACATGAAGAAGAGGGGCACATGTTGATGTAGAAGAGACACGAAGAAGTGGACTTTGCACAATAGGTGACCTTCAAGAGAAAAGAGAGCAATGTAAGCAAGTATGACACACTTTTGAATAGCATGACATCACAGTGCAACGTGTGCATGACATAAAGGTTACATAGAATAGGACTCATACTTAAGAGCAGCCTTTCTAAATAACCACGTGACGTCACATGGTTGACGATGCAAGTGAAACTATGATCAAAGACAAAAATCCCATTCAAAATAAGTTGATACTGTAAGTCGTGTGATTTAATACACAGGGCACTATATCACATCACGAGGTTGCAACGAATGATTATTTTCTGTATTGATTAAACAGCCGGTAATATTTCTCTATAGAAAAATGTCAGAAAATAGTGAAAACCGTCCGTCTCAGTTTATCAAAGTCCAAGGTAATGTCTCATTGTGTCAACCCCAACCGCAGATACATACATTCATATATTCATATTGACCCAGAGGGAAATTAAGCACTGTGCGGCTGCTTTTTGTTGCATATTATAAATTCATATATAATTGTATTATTTGAAATGACGTTTGCGGTCGTGTCTTGTAATATCGCTGTATGAGATTACATTGTGTTGAAGGGGTGTTTGTTAGTGGTTTCACATGCTGTGTAATATTTAAATAAAAACAATGTAGAATTAGCTTGTTCTGTGACTGAGGTTGTTTATTTCTAGGTACTCTATGGGGGGAATAATTGCATTTTATTCCACAAAACACAGCATTAACAGTCAAGAATCCTGCTAGAACAAAAGCCAACAATGTCTAGTGCTGCATTCAAAAGTGAGAGGATTATATATATTACCAAGGTGCATTTAGAGATTAATTGAGGGGGAGCTGAAAAGCAGCTTTTCTCAATAACCACCTGTAAAAAAAACGGACTATACAAGTGCACACACATGATAAATACGAGTATATGAGTGTTAGCATGTGGTTAATTCAACATGGTGGTTTATTATCTCCTGTAATGACGCGATGGTGCTACCATGACAACAGTAGGTTGCTCGTGTCATCAACACCTGACATACTAATACCACGTTTAGGGTTAGAGCTACTAAACTAGGCTAAAATGATCCATTAAGACACTTATAAATACACTTAAATACGCACAAAAACACGCTTTATGTTGTGGGGGCATATGAAAAGTGGTTTTGTAGCTGTAGGTTTGAGTAAAGAGTTGTTTTATCTCGAAGTTAACTTCACTAAAGTAAAACGAATCCAGTAAGACAATAATACATATGCACACAGCTGACTAGATGTTGTGGGGAGGTGCGGAAGTTAGTTTGGTAGCTGGAGGAATTAGTAAACAGTTGTTTCATCTCGAAGGTAACTTCACTGCTAACTTAGCCACCGTTAGCTTGCAATGCTAACAAGTGAATAGGGAGAAAAATAGCATTTAGCATTAGCTCTTACTTTTAGCCTCTGTCTTCGTCCACGGCGTTCCGCCTCGATGGGTCACTCATAAGTAAAGAGTGAAGATGATAAGTCCTGTCGTTGATGAGTGTGGTTGTGATGAGAGACACACACAACACACACACACATATGCTGCTCTTCCTATTTGGCGCCCTCCTCTCCACTGACATCTGAGGCGGGGGCGCGCAGCTAGCGGGGGCGCGCTTTAGCCTCCATGCATGTTTACCTTATATATACAGTCTATGATGTTTACTTACATTTAGCAAAACAAACAAGTATGGAAGTTCATTTCTGCCAGTAAAAGAGACAAATAAGATGGAGCCCTGTGATTGAGGTTTGTACTGCACGTCATTTATTTTAATAGTAATATTTTAATTTAGAATGCCACCATAAATACTTGTACTTTTTTAAAATGTGAAATAATGACTTATTAATGCAAAAAAAATAGTTAGTATCTGTAATAATGAGTTATTCTGAAATAAATAATGTATAGAAATAATGACATAGCATCTCAAACCAACCCCTATAGCAGAATTATTTTAATTTAATTTTAGAATAATTATTATTGTAAGTAAACTTGTCTTTATTGGAAGAAAAAAATGGGATTAAAAATTATAGAAAATAATAATAATTAAATGATAATTCAAATATTCAAATGAAATAAAATAATAATGGAATGAATACAAAATAATAATAATATAAAACATAATACAATCATAAAAATAATTTGGAAAAAAAGATATAAAGATATTTAATATGAAGAAAAGGTTTTACTACAACAACAAAATAAAGATAATTATTACAAAAATTAAAAACACATTAAAAACAATACGTTAACCCTCTATGGCATGACTTTTTATTTTGGGAGGAAATACATGTTTCACCATGTGTTTTAGGAGCTTAGGGGTCCCTGATATTATATACATTATAAAATGTGACCCCCCCTCACCCCTCAAACAGGGGTTGGTTTGTTGCCTCAGGGCAACAATGTGCTACGAGGGGACACCAAGGATTTCTACAATTCAGAAGAAACGGAAAAAACAACTCTATATGAATTCAAAAGGTTTTCTTTGTGTGTGTGTATGTGTGTGTCTGTCTGTCTGTGTGTGTGTGTGTGTGTGTGTTTGTGTGTGTATATGTGTGTGTCTGTCTGTGTGTGTGTGTGTATGTCTGTGTGTGTGTATATGTGTGTGTGTTTGTGTGTGTATGTGTGTGTCTGTGTGTATGTGTGTGTATGTCTGTGTGGGTGTGTGTATGTGTGTGTGTGTGTCTGTCTGTATGTGTGTGTGTGTGTGTCTGTCTGTCTGTGTGTATATGTGTGTGTCTGTCTGTCTGTGTCTGTGTGTGTTTGTGTGTGTATGTGTGTGTATGTGTGTGTGTATGTGTGTGTCTGTGTGTATGTGTGTGTATGTCTGTGTGGGTGTGTGTATGTGTATGTGTGTGTCTGTGTGTGTCTGTCTGTATGTGTGTGTGTGTCTGCCTGTCTGTGTGTGTGTGTGTGTCTCTGTGTGTTTGTGTATGTGTGTGTGTGTGGTGTGTGTGTGTGTGTGTGTGTGTCTGTGTGTGTGTGTGTGTCTGTGTGTCTGTGTGTATGTCTTTGTGTATGTGTGTGTATGTGTGTGTGTCTGTGTGTGTCTGTGTGTGTGTGTCTATGTGTGTGTGTCTGTGTGCCTAACCCTATCTTGACCTTCACTATCCTCACTGTCAGACGGAATAGCCCTAACAGCCTGATCGTGTCCCTTCTGCCCATAACATGTTTTGGTGTCAATTTCCTGTAAATATCAGTAGATGGTAAAGTAACAACATTTACCATCATTATGTATGATGGTAAATTATTATTATTATTATTATTATTATAGTTTATAATACTCGTTGTGCAGATTGGTCCATTTCAGAATAATATATATGATATGTTTTATAATGATTGATCATGAAAGTGTTCTCAAAGCTGGTGAAGGTGCAGCTAGTTTGAAGTACTTTGTATACTGCAGGGTAGCTGGAGGATTTACTCCAGGTGGAACTAAAGTCTGATTCAACACTTGATTAGATTTCACATCATTCATCCACATCTGTACAGTAACTAAAGGGATTAAATACATGTAGTGGAGTAGAAGTACACCATTTACCTCTGAACTGTAGTGGAGTAGAAGTACACAGTAGTAAATGGAAATACTCAAGTAACGTACCTCAACATTTGTACTTAAGTACAGTACTTGAGTAAATCTACTTAGTTACTTTACTTTAAACCAATTCTGACTTTGATTTCAGAATTCTGACTTAGAAATTTGGTATTTCAATCTTTATTATTAACCCTATTCATTTATTTTATATTCTTTTATTGTATGTATTCATTTTGTGTTATGTCCTTTGCTTCACAGAGAGGGATACTTGTTCATTTTTATTGTATGTTACTGTTATTATCATACCTATTTTACCTTCTTGTGTCCCTTGAATTGTTATATTATGCTGGCAAGTTTGCAAAAAGCTTTGACTTGTAGTCAGTTTTTAGTTTTAATATGTGATCCGTCCCATGTTGTCAAAGCACTGGGTTTATGAAAAGTGACTTTTTGGTGATTTGGCCCTAATCGTCTTCCGTAGTTCACGCCGTACAGTAAATGGCTAGATGTTTCTTTAACAGTGGGAGGGGTTTCTCTTCAGGGCGGGATCTCTCTGACAGGAGGAAGAAGCTCTGGGTGACTGGCAGCCGGGGATCCAACCTTCAAAAGCCGGCTGGTCTTTATTCGCTACTTCCTTTACATTTTTTTTTACATAAACAGGGATCTATGGCTTCCAAAGGGATGAATCTGTGCAACGTTTGCTGCCTGCTTCTCTACGTTATTTCGGCGGTGCTTGCAGGGTAAGTCTGTTGAAAATGAGAAAGCATCTCCAGGTGGTACACATGTTCCTCTGTGATTGGTCCACATCACTTCTACATGTGTTGTGTGGACTACAGTAGCTTTACACACCGAGATAAATCACTATTAAGTATGTATTTATGTGTGTTTGATATCTAGCTAAACGGTTATATTCAGGAGTTTGAATGCTTTGTTTTGAATGACTAGTTAGCTCGGTTAGCATGGAGCTAGCCTTCAAACCAGGAAATGGCTGTAAATTGAAGCCGATTTTTTGAATGGACGTAGTGGCCAAACGGTGGTACTACAGCCTACGTGACGTCATTTTGTCACATAAATACTTTCCCCCAATGACTTACATTGGGAAAGAGACGTCTGTAAATCAGTGTATAATGATTTTTATTTCAGCTAAATAAACTACCCAGCACAAACACTTGTATAGAACTTATTTTAATACATCATAAAATGCACTGAAAGCTGAATAGAGTAATTTTCTCTCTCCAATAATTTGGTATTTTAATCTTTATTATTCTTCTTATTCATTTATTTTATTGTATTTATTCATTGTGTGTTATGTCCTTTAATTTACTGAGAGGGATCATTGTTTATTTTATTGTATTTTACTGTTATTATCATACCTATTTTATCTCCTTGAATTGTTATATTATGCTGGTAAGTGTGCAAAAAGCTTTGACCTATAGTGACATTTATTTTTTGTTTTAATATGTGATCTGTCCCATGTTGTCAAAGCACTTACAGCTGAACTGGATTTATGAAAATGTGCTATACAAATGCCCGTATCATCCGGGTACTTCCTGAACCTACAGTCGCTCCATTGTTGTCTTCATGCGCCACTGAGCAGCTCTCATAGGAATGAACGGTGTTTCAGTTCACTTTATAAATCCATGCTTCACACCGGCTTACTACTCAGTGCTAGCTTGTTTGTATATCACCCTTAACACATTAAAACACACATCTAACTGTTTCATTTTGTTCTCCATGTGTCAGGCCATTATCTATTCTTAATGTGACCCTTTTCTTTATTATAGGCGAGATTTCTATGCTATCTTGGGGGTGACAAAGAGTGCATCAATCAGGGACATAAAGAAGGCCTACAGAAAGCTGGCTCTTCAGTTACACCCCGACAGAAACCAGGACGACCCCAACGCTGCAGACAAATTTGCAGATTTGGGATCAGCTTATGAGGTGGGTGCATGCTCTCTATATCCATTGTTTTTGTGTTTAATGCAAGTGATAGCTGCAGGGAAGCACAGTCAATACATGTGGATTTAAAAGGTGGGTTTAGTTGCCTAAATGTCATGAAACTTCAGAATGAAAGTGTATATATTGAACGGAAATATGAGATTGTGTGCGGAAGAGCCTGAAGCTACGTTACAAGAGGCTTTTGTACTCTAGCTTTTTGGTTGTTGTTGGAAACGGTAGCTGCACTATGATTGGTCGACTAGACCGTGTGGCTGCTTCTGATTGGCTGTTGAGCGGCACAGCTGGCATCTGTAAAAGCCAGACGTGGATGAATGGGAGTGGATTCAGATAAGATCTGCAGGTGTTTTAGTATCAAATGTTCCCATTGCATTTCAAAATAACTGGGATTAGTTGTGTTGTTTGATAAACAAGGAGTGGACACATGTGGAGTATTACACGGTTTAAATGTTATTGCTTGATAATAATAATCTATATTTTTATAGCAACATTCACACGGAAAGGAAATAGACATTACATGGACACAAACAGAGAGAGTTCATGTTTAAAGAAACATTTGATGGATATTATCATACTTATTTACCTGTATATACACATATTAGTTTAGTTTACTGTGCCTTGATAAGAGGAATATTATGTTATTATGCATGTTATTATGATTTTCTTAAGCTAGTTGAAAGAGAGTATCATAAGAAAACTGCACTTTAAAATGTAATTGTATCTTTTTTTAATTGGTGCTTTGTGTGTTCACTTTATTTTTGATAAAAAGAGGATTGTTGGAAATTCTTTTTTTAACATTTAACAAGCGATTTGTTGTAATGTAGCTGTGTAGGCTACTGAAAGAGGGAGTGTTCACTTTAATATACTATTTAATTTGCATTTCATATGTGTATCTTAATATTCAACTATGCTGCGTCCAGTTGAACAGGTGTACCTTATTCAGGGACCAGTCAGTGTTAAAACAGTCAACAATTTCCCAGGGATATATGTCATACATGTCTTAGGTTAGTATGTGAATAATACTGCTTTTCTCATTTTTGAAATCAAGTTTTGCTTAGGTTTAGATGGTGTTTGTGTTCTGTTATATTGTTGTACTGGATGACATTATGTACATGGTTTCCCATATGCTGTGTGAATTAGAACAATGTAGAATATAGTACGTTCTTCAATTATTGTAATTTAGCTGTGTAGGTTACTGAAAGAAGCAGAAAGGCTGAACTAAGTACACTTTAAGATCTGATTATTTAATTGGCTTGTGTATTTTAGGTGCTCTCAAACGAGGAGAATAGGAAACAGTATGACGCGTACGGAGAAGACGGACTCAAAGAGGGTCACCACGGCTCACACAACGACATCTTCTCCAGGTGCGTTTCATGGGTTCAGGTCCAACACTGTAAGCCAATGGGATACCTTATTTTACAAGTAAAGGGTTAACCTAAAGTTCAGTTCATTAAAAACAAAGATGTTTTTCACCTGAACCTTGATATGTCCAGCTGTGCCGATCATTTTGATCATATTTAATATTTAATACGTTTGCTTCCTCCACCCGATAAATAAACTTCAACGTATCGTCAATAAAGCATAAAAAAATCACCTGCAGTCCCCTTCCATCACTCGAATCACTTCACCACCAACGAACTGTCACAAGGGCAAAGAAAATCATTTCTGACCCCTCCCACCCAGCTCACCATGTCTTCCAACTTCTGCCCTCGGGGAGGCGCTACAGGTCACTGTCCACCAAAACCGCCCGCTTCAAAAACAGCTTCTTCCCCTTTGCAATACGGACACGAAATGGACTCTAAATAACCCCAATGAACAATCACAATCAATCACACCTTGAACTTTATGTATATATGTCTTTGCCCTGTGCTGTGTGTTGTACTTTTTATCGTCTGTTTACTGTATGTTGAATTGTATGGAACAAGCTGTAATACTCTGCACTGAACACGAATTCCACCAGCCTGGCTGTGTGGTCATTAAAGATTCTAATCTAATACAGTTACAATAAATATAACATTGTTTGTGTCGCTTTGTAAATGTTATTTGGATAATCAACAAACTTTACTTTGAATAGTTAACACAGAAACAACTTTTTCTTTCTTTACAAATAAATAGTTCATACAACAACACCCCACGTTGTTTTGATATCAGAATCAAAAATCCTTTATTTGTCCCGGATTTTATTATATAATATTATCATTAGGTGGATTATTGTGAGCAATGGGTCACAGTAACCCTGTCTCAGTGTGAGCAATGGGTCACAGTAACCTTGTCTCAGTGTGAGCAATGGGTCACAGTAACCCTGTCTCAGTGTGACCCAGATTCTGAAAGCAAGCATTGCGGTTGACTTTTTGAAATGTATTTAATGTGTTATTTGTCTCCTCTCTCTCTGTGTTTCTGTAGCTTCTTTGGTGACTTTGGGTTCATGTTTGGAGGAAACCGACAGCAGCAGGACAGGAACATCCCCAGAGGAAATGACATCATACTCGACCTGGAGGTCACGCTGGAAGAGGTGTACTCTGGGAACTTTGTGGAGGTGAGGAGAAGATACCTGCACTCAAGTGTGTATCAAATTCAAAGGTTTTATTGTCATATGCTCAAAGCTACAGTGTAGAAATGGCAACGACATTCTTCTGACCTGAGCTCCTCCAACAATGCAACATATATAATAAAATACAACATAAAAAGTAGTGTCTATATGCATGTCAATAGAATAGGTATATGTACAAGAACAGAATATGAAATTACACAAAGTGGGATTGGTTGTTTGATTGACAGACATTGGGGTCATTGAAGTTGTGAAACTGGAACATTTGCTGACTCATCATCTGAGTTACTGTGGGTGTTGTTGTCGTTCAGGTTGTACGTGTAAAGCCAGTCGCTAAAGAAGCGCCCGGCAAGAGGAAGTGTAACTGCCGGCAGGAGATGAGGACGACTCAGCTCGGACCCGGGCGCTTCCAGATGACTCAGGAGATGGTGTGTGACGAGTGTCCCAATGTCAAGTAAGTCAAAAGTCAAAGGCAACTTTATTGTCAATCTTTCAGTTTGTGTGTACAGACAGAGAGATCGAAATACCGTTTCCCACATTCCCGAATACAAAAACAAATATATATGCAAATATGTATGCAAATATGTATATACCTCTACATATATCACAACAATCAATATATACAAAATAACAGTCACTTCAATATCAGGATCCACATTAAGGCCTTCCAGTGAGCAGCGGAGATGTTTTCACTTTGGATAAAAGCAACTGCTAAATTACATGTTAGGTTTCAAATGAAACGACTAGGCTTTAGAGAAATACTTAAAGTGTGTTAATGCAGCTTATAAAACATTGAATATGCTCTCCACAAAGCCAACACATTTACAGAAACAGTCCTTTTACTTCCCTGATCATCATCGACCACACTCATTAAAGCTCGTCTTTCTGCTGTTCCATCAATTACCAACTCTGCATCGAGTTATCACTTATTGCTGTTGTGTTAGATCGCATTTGATCCAGCTTGTTGCTAGCTTGTAACCATGCACTGAGTGTACTGTATAGATGGAGTAAGAACTTAGAGAAAAAATGTTGTGCACACTTTATATAACAACAAATGTTTTTGTTTGAATGAATGTCAACCTCAGGCTGGTGAATGAAGAGAGGACGCTGGAGGTAGAAATTGAACAGGGCGTGAGAGATGAAATGGAGTACCCCTTCATTGGAGAAGGTACATCTTAATAAACCATGAATAAGAATCATCTGTTTTTCTAATATATTGTAAACATGTAATATCCGCCCACAGGGGAACCTCACATCGACGGGGAACCTGGAGATCTACGTTTCCGCATCAAAGTGCTGAAGTATGAATCATCTGTATTTACGGTGTCAGCTTTCAAATACTTGAATCATTGAATATTTAATAAGTGACTAACATGATGTTTTCCTTTTAGACACCCAGTGTTTGAGCGCAGAGGAGACGACCTGTACACCAACGTCACCATCTCATTGGTGGAGGCTCTGATCGGCTTCGAGATGGACATCTCACATCTGGACGGACACAAGGTGCTGTATTTCACTAATATATATATATATAGAAATGTATTTATTAGGATAAACCCATCTCGTTTTCAAGGGGGTCCCGACAAAAGCAACGTCCCACAGATAGACATGAAAGAAATTACAGAAAGCATAGCATGACAAACCAGGACGAGCCACGTACAGTCTGTTAAGCCAAATGAATGAAGTAATACAATCATTACAATGTGATTCTTGAAAGTGAGATGAGAATGCTTAAAACCAATGATGACAGGGATCTGATAGCAGCAGGTCAAGTATTCCAGTCTGTTGGGGCTTTAAACATCAACGCTCTTCTGCCAATACCTTTTTTTGCACATGGGGCTTCTTTCTATCCAACTTGACAGTTCTACAACCCAGACGATTGAAAGTTGTTTAAAGACTAAGGTTAGCTTCCTATTATGTGTGACTGAATGGTTGAATTGAATGTCTGCTTGCATGTTTGCGGACAGGTCCATATAGTGAGAGATAAGATCACAAAGCCTGGAGCTCGGATGTGGAAGAAAGGAGAAGGTCTGCCAAACTTTGACAACATCAACATCCGAGGGTCCCTCATCATCTCCTTCGACGTGGAGTTCCCTCAGACGCAGCTCGACGATCAGCAGAAAGACGGTGAGAAGAGAGGAGATCTTAAAGGTCACCTATTGTGCAAAATCCTCTTCTCCATGTCTCTTCTACATCAACATGTGTCCCCTCTTCTCCATGTCTCTTCTACATCAACATGTGTCCCCTCTTCTTCATGTCTCTTCTACATCAACCATGTGTCCCCTCTTCTTCATGTCTCTTCTACATCAACATGTGTCCCCTCTTCTTCATGTCTCTTCTACCTCAAACATGTGTCCTCTCTTCTTCATGTTTCTTCCACATCAACATGTTTCCCCTCTTTCTTCATGTCTCTTCTACATCAACATGTGTCCCCTCTTCTTCATGTCTCTTCTACATCAACATGTGTCCCCTCTTCTTCATGTCTCTTCTACATCAGCATGTGTCCCCTCTTCTTCATGTCTCTTCTACATCAACATGTGTCCCCTCTTCTTCATGTCTCTTCTACATCAATATGTGTCCCCTCTTCTTCATGTCTCTTCTACATCAACATGTGTTCCCTCTTCTTCATGTCTCTTCTACATCAACATGTGTCTCCTCTTCTTCATGTCTCTTCTACATCAACATGTGTCCCCTCTTCTTCATGTCTCTTCTACATCAACATGTGTCCCCTCTTCTTCATGTCTCTTCTACATCAACATGTGTCCCCTCTTCTTCATGTCTCTTCTACACTCAACATGTGTCCCCTCTTCTTCATGTCTCTTCTACATCAACATGTGTCCCCTCTTCTTCATGTCTCTTCTACATCAACATGTGTCCCCTCTTCTTCATGTCTCTTCTTCATCAACATGTGTCCCCCTCTTCTTCATGTCTCTTCTACATCACATGTGTCCCCTCTCTTCATGTCTCTTCTACATCAACATGTGTCCCCTCTTCTTCATGTCTCTTCTACATCAACATGTGTCCCCTCTGTGGGAAAGAGACTCTGAAAGTTTTAGAAAAAAAGATTCTCTCTCTTTTTGATCCATTTCTATAAAAACCTGTCTGAAAATGAGCTGATCAGATTTTGGTCACTTTATGATGTCATAACGATGTTCTGGCTTGTGTAACCATTAGCCAATCAGCAACCAAGGTAACCCCCCGCCCCCCCCCCACACACCTTATCACCTGAATCTCCTCCTATGCTTTCACACCAGCGCTTTTCCCTTTCTAGCTCCGAGCGGGAGCTTTTCTGGTTCAGCTCCGGTTTCCCTTTTTTCTGCTCCCGCTCTGTTCACACCGCCCAGAGCTGCCGCTGCTGCGTCATGACGTCACCGTTTACGTGCCTGCTTCATAAAATCCGAACCGCGCGGAAATCCCTCACATCGACAACAACAACAATGGCCGATTGTATTGAAGCGCTGTTCGCTTTGGTTATCCTCTTACGAAACGACATGGAAGGCATCGGACGACTTTACAAGGGACGACTTTACTTGGAACTTTACAAACATCACACGCAAGCATTTTGTTGTTGTTCAGGAGGCTGATCCCACACATGCCCCTGCCCCCGCCTCGACGTAAGAGAGACGTAAGCGACGCCGCCTCTTAGCTCCGAAGCTCTTGCCTCTAGACCGACAATTTTTTGGAGCTGGAAGTGAACCGGATTCCGGAGCTAAGAGGCGGCGCCTCTGCGGTGTGAACAGGAAAAACCGGTACTTTTCAACTCCGAGCCTGAGCTGAAAACGCGTTGGTGTGAAAGGGGCATTAGAGCACCAATGAGTTCTTTGTAACCAAATGTCTCTCAGAGGGGCGTGGCTCCTTATTTTCATCTAAAGTAACAGACAGAGGGTGTTTCTCAATGTCGAGTACGCTTGCTTGGTAGCACATGTCTTCCGAGTCACTTGCTTCAGAAGCGAGGCAAGAACACTTCCTGGCATTCGGAAAACGAAGAGTGGAACAGGCTAGCAAGTGTGCAAGTGTGCGTCATATGAGAGGCCCCGCCTTACATTTTCCGCCACAGATTTGGGGAAATTGGTCCGTGCGCAAAGCATTGTGGGGATTTTAAGACCGCAGAGTCTACACATGTGCAGCCTCGAAATATCTCGCTACGAAGTACGCCAGGCTCGGTAGACTTCCAAGTATGCTGGACATTGGAAAAGTCCTTCGGCGGCACTCGATGACGTAGTATGCTTGAAATAGTGGCTCCGGAGCAGCTTTACTCGACATTGAGAAACACACAGAGAATCAGCACTTTGGAAACAGGGCTGAAACAGAGGGGATTATGGGTAATGCTGCAATGATCTGTTTGGTGTTTCAGCCAATCAGAGACATGTTCTGTATATATCTGAGACCTGTGATATATTGATGACAAACAGTATAATAGGACCTTTAAGGAATACGCAGAGACATTTGTCTTGACAGGATCTAGGCTGCGAAAGATGCTTTACTTCACATTAGTTAGGATGGTGTAAAGCTTTCTGAACAACTCTGATATAAAGGTCAGTTTATTTAGATGGCACATTTTCACACACAAAGGCAATTCAACGTGCTTTACATAGGCATTAACACATACTATTAACAATATTAATTCATAGACAAGACAGGTATCCTGAACACCATCCACAGCAAGCAATAACATGAAGGACTGTCACTGTTCGCTTAGTTTTGAAGCCTCGAAACTTCAAATATTTGTTGTGACACAAATAGAAAGAAAGCCCCAAAACTTAATTAGTTCTGCCAATCGTAACTTGGAAAGAGATGTTACTTTACTTCAAAACGTACTTAAAGGACCCATGTCATGGCCATTTCTACTGATCATAATTCCATTGTTGAGGTCTACTAGAATAGATTTATATTGTTCAATTTTCCAAACTCACATTGGTTTCTCAGCATCTCTGTAAAGTCTGTGTTTTCACTCTCTGTCCTAAACGGCTTGTTGGAGCTCCTGCCCCCCCCCCCCCCCCCTGTGAGCCCAGTGGCCGTCTGCGAGACACAGCGAAACCCAGCCTGGGCACACACACACACACACACACACACACACACACACACACACACACACACACACACACACACACACACACACACACACACAGCCTGGCTGGGAGTTCGTGTGTGTGCCCAGGCTGAGTTCCGCGGTGTCTCGCCGAGCCCACACCAGTGAGCCGGCTCACAGAGTCCCGCTCCTCGCAGCAGCGGGCCTCGCAACGTCCCGCCGAGTGTGTGTGTGTGTGTGTCCGGATTGGTCCAAACGTAACGGCTCCGCAGAAATGGACCAATCCGCGGAGCCGTTACGTCATTATACCCGAAATATGTCACTATACCCAAAAAAGTAAACAATGGACAAAGAGAAATCCCCAACGAGGCGTTCTGGGGCAGCATCAAATCAAGTTTTATTTATATAGCACATTTTTAAAACGATTTTTGGTCGAGCCAAAGTGCTGTACATATACTTTACAATAAGGATACTTTACAACAGCACAGTTTGTACAGAATATCAGTATGACAATACGACACCCTCTGTCCTTAGACCCTCACATCGTACAAGGAAAAACTTCCAAAGAAAACCCACAGTTTAAAGGGAACATGGGAGAAACCTCAGGGAGAGCAACAGAGGAGGATCCCTCTCCCAGGACGGACAGACGTGCGATAGATGCCGTGTGTAAATCGAAGAGATAATACATTTTACAGCGTAGGTAGTCCAGCATAGACAGGTATTTTCTGAGTTAGAGTTTTACTCGCTACAGGGTGTACTTTGAGGGTTTGTGACTCTGCAGACCGTGTACATGCAGATAAAGCTATATAACACACGAGGGGACGGGTAACAACCAGAAAAGCATGACATGGGAGCTTTTTAAGTACAGCATTAACAGTTGGAAAGATATGCACAATAACCAGGCACATGCTGTGAGTTGCATTCTAGTATTTGAAAATACTTGGGACTTCTTATTGTGTATATACTAAGTTACTAAATATATGATTCTAAAATACTGATGTAAACAAATGGGTTTCTTATGCATTAATTTACTCGACTTCTTTTCCCATACAACACTTGACATAGCCAATAGAATTATGCTAATATATTGTAGCCTATCTGATATTTTAAAATCTATATTCATTTCATTTCAAACCTTTACCACTGTAACCGGTCTGGTTTGACGCCACATGTGATCTCTGCGTTGTGTTGTGTTGTGTAAATGAGAACGACTTCTTTCTTGCCAAACAGGATTTATTCTCTGTGCAAAACAGAATATAATAATTAAAGCAGGAAATGGCTTCATCAGCTTTCTAACTTCACACTTCTCCTCAGTGGGGCCTGAAGCTAACTCAGGAAAGTATACAGAGTTCTAAATAATACAATTAACAGATATACATCTATCCATGGTGGCAAACCAGTTTTTCCTTGTAAACCAATATACACAAATATAACCATTAATTTACACTTACATAACAAACAATACAATTTACAGTTACAAAATACAAAAATAATACCCACATACCTGTGCAAAACAGAATATAATAATTAAAGCAGGAAATGGCTTCATCAGCTTTCTAACTTCACACCTTCAGTGGAAGAAAACACGCACATGTTAGCATATAGCTAAACTTTAGAAAGCTCCCAAACACTGTTTGAAGCGCTGCACATTATATAAACTACAGTCACACACGGCAAAATATAGATATTAACTGCAAATAGGTTTGGCTTGTGTGAAGTGTAACATTAAACAATCTATTAACATATAAAATACAACATTTATGACACCACTCGTTCCACTTACTTCTCCTCTTTAGACAGATAAATCCCATTGAGATCATTGATCTCTTTTTCAAGGGAGACCTGCTCAAGTAGTTCCACATGAAACATAAATAGAACAACAAAAGGACATCATACAGCATCGTTTACATAACTATCCACATAAACAGGTACCAACAGCTTCCGATTGAGTAGCATCCAACCGAGCTTTAAAAACATTTAGTGGCACCAGATTGCTCAGTTTCCATTTAATTTGCAGACTGTTCCAAGACAGAGGAGCTGCGCATCTAAAGCTGTCTTCCGAAGACAGTCCTAGCAGTTGGCACATTTAATAAAACCACAGCATGCGATCTCAGGCAGTAGCCACTTACAATTCTCCGTGAGATCAGGGAGCAGATATAAGATGGAAGTTTCCCTAACATGGCTTTGTATATAAAAATGTACCAGTGACTGAGCCTCCGTGCAGTTAGTGAAAGCAAACCAGCCCTTGCATACAGGGTGCAGTGATGGGTTAATGCTTTACAGTTAGTAACACATCTCAGTGCGCTGTGATACGCAGCATCTAACTTCCTGATGTGGTTTGAACTGTGTTTTTCCTTCTGTTGCAGGTATCCGGGGTCTTCTGAAGCAGGGCTCTGTACAGAAGGTTTATAACGGACTACAAGGATACTAACACACACAACCTGGACTGAGATATCTGACACACACACACACACACACACACCCTCTCTCTATCATGAGGACTGTGCTCCATAGTTCTGACCAGGGTGTATTTATTATTTCAGATTGTTCTCAGGGTGGCTTGAACCCAACTGGTTTTTAATGTTCTACATTTTGGCAGCAGTGGCACACTTGCAGATGTTTTATTTGAACTGTATCAAACGGAGAAGATGCCATGTCTTTGCACATCTGTGTCCCCACGTTATATAGTAATAAGGCCTTTTTTTTTGTTCATTTTAAAAAGCCGATTCACATATTTCTATCCGAGAGAAGTTAAACAAACACTGTTTATGGGTCGACCGCTGAGTACGGCCGACATCTGCTGAAGGACGAGCTGCTGACAAACATCTGGAGAAGAAGAGAAACAACAACCTGTGAAACACCAGCAGATGTTCTGCTATTTTTTATTAGTTTTATGAATGTAACAGCTCCATCTGTTCACTGACTTTGCTCTGGTCAGATTCCTGTTCAATAACACTTTGTAAATAAGGAAGAAAAAAAAGCTCATTTGTTGTGTTTTCCTAATTTATGTCGCCTCTTCTGTTTACTCATTGCAACTGTCTGCATTGCAAACCCCCACATGTACTGTTCAAAGAGTTGACCTCTTTCATAAAACAGTGCATTTTTAATATGTTGGAGGAAATGAGGGTAGTTTGCATATCCTCCAGTGCCACTATAGGAACATGTTGTTTTTCAAATTGACCTCAGACCAGGAAGCATCCAATTTGGTGACATTTAGGAATTCACTTCTCTCTGTTTTTACTGTCGACTGCAGCGCTGCCTCCCGATGTTATGAGTGTCAAGGCCTTATGGGGATGATGTACTTTTGACTTATGATATAAATAAAGATTTCTACACGTTCTGATGAGATGTCATACCCCAGACTCACCAGCAGGTGGCACCACAGTCTAATACGTGGACTTTTCATGCCCTGAATTTCGTCTGTCAGGAATTCTGTCACCTTCCTGTGGCGCTCGCTCTTCTTTGATGAAATGGTGGCAATTTAAAAAATCTATTTCACACATAAACCACCAGAAACTTTACCTGCAGCATAACAGGTATCTGAAAGGATTTTAGCTATACCTGTATATATCTTTTGTTATATTTGAAGAACACTTTCCTACAGAGAAAGAGCTTCCTTAGGATAAATCTTTAGAGAATATCAAATGCTCCTCACTGTCATTGTTCGGATTTGAAGAGCATTTCTTATATTGTGGTAATTTCAAACGGTTAGGCTTTAGATGTATCAACTATTAGTCAATATGTCAACTTATTGGTCGTTTTGGTCTTCGTTCAATTAGATATCTCCTACATGTGATGTTCATTTTCAATTATATTTTCTCTGTCTTGCATTAAGGTGAAGGAGAGATCATATTTAAAGTATAGCTGAGAAAACTAAAGCAAATCCATATAATAAGAAAAACACACTGGTTAAAATGTAAAGAAAATAAACATTAAACCTTTAAATTGCCTTAAGGAAAACAGTGTTTCAAGTGATGTCGTGTTGTTCCTACTTTTATTCAGCATTTCTTCAATAATTAAATGAAAGCAAAGGAGATAAAAAATGATTCAGAATCTTGAATTTTGTATCCGTCACACAGCTGGGAATATTACAATATTACAGCAAAGGGTGCGGATACTTAACCAAATAAATGAGTAAACAAATATATTAAATTAAGGTATGCACATGTTAATAAAATACATATCAAATGATTACACATCCCAGGTTAAGGTACCATCATTAGTGAGTCAAAATAAACTGAGTAAAGAAAATAACAAACATTTAGAGTAAATATTCAAATAAAATAATGAAGTATGCTGCGGGTTGGTGAGCAAGCTTATACACATACTGTGTTTCCATTTACGTACCACAAAAACGTGTATATATTAATATGTATATAAACACAGAGAAGTAATTTCCTTTAATTTGCAGACTGTAGGCCGTGACCCTGTGACCCCCTCAGTGGTGCCACACACACACACACACACACACACACACACACACACACACACACACACACACACACACACACACACACACACACACACACACACACACACACACACACACACACCACACCTTGTGGGTGGAGGTCTGTCTGCATGGGTGGAGCAGGGGATGTCCACAGAAACATGTTTATGGTGCGGTGAGTGGTGTCTGAACACATCTGCCCACCAGTGTTCCTGTCACAGACTAAGTGTGTGTAATAATCTCCCACAATAGATGTGTGTGTGTGTGTGTGTGTGTGTGTGTGTGTGTGTGTGTGTGTGTGTGTGTGTGTGTGTGTGTGTGTGTGTGTGTGTGTGTGTATAATGAACTCCCACAGAGATAGCAGAGCTGTGGTGAAGGGAGTTTCCTCCCCGGACCACCACACAGCTCGGAGTCATTTTCAGACTGAAGAGGAGAAGAGAGGCTTTGTGATGCAGGGAGATAAAACGTCTCACTGTTTCACCTCACAGACAGAGAGAGACACACACACACACACACACACACACACACACACACACACACACACACACACACACACACACACACCACACACACACACACACACACACACACACACACACACACACACACACACACACACACACACACACACACACACAGGCAGACCAAGAACGAGGCCAAAAAGCTCGAAATTAGTCCACATTGTGTACTTCCTCGTTTGTTCTCTTGTTTTTATATCAATACGTTCTTGTTTAGATACCTGGTAAGTTCTGTTGTTATCACTAGTATATATATGTCAGTAAATACCCCGCTCCTGAATGTCTTACAGTAATAACAAGTATCTTAAAAAGCCAGTACAAGAGAATAACTGAGACTACAGAAGTTCTCCGCCTTTATGAGACCAAAAACAAAACCAATGTTAGACTTGTTTTGAAGCCAAACCCCAAAAAGACCAAGGTACACTGTTACAGCCTTTATTTAAAAGGGCGTTTGCATTGGGCTGGCATTCCACTTCTGGGCAGTAATCAATAAACAATATTTCATATTAATATTCCTTCTGTCATATATTTATGTATATATATATATATTTGTATACATAATACCTAGTTAAATTCAACATGTACATTTTCTACTTTCTTGTTTATTTCTAGTCTTTGAATGTGTATGGTACAATGCCTTGTCTTTTTATGCTGCTGCAACACAAACAATTTCCCAAACTGGGATCAATAAAGTTCTTCTTATCTTATCTTAATCCACCTTTATGAAACCAAAAGAGAGAAAGGCAAGACTTTAAATTAGCTTGGTGATCAATAAGTCATAACCAAAAAAGACCACGGCACACTGATTTGCAGAAATAAATGAATGAACATTTCATCACTCGCTTTTTCAGGGTGCTAGTCCTAGCTAATGGCAGTGAAGTAGAAGTCAAGTCAATGTGGTTTAATTTGTTTATAGCCTAACGTTATGCTAGGGTTGCATTTATGCTACAACAACCATGAGATCCCACCCAGAGTGGCGTTAAGGTGGAGACGATCCTGCTGAACTGAACCTGTGATGATCATAAACGTTTGTTTGACAGAGATCTTATTTTATGCAATAATCCAAAATGTGATTGTTCATGCCGGGAACCAGGGAGATGCTAACTTAGGCCTACTCAAACACATCATCTTTGCACTGCTCTCTAAACCCACGAGCTGGATCACTCAGCACTCTGCCGTGTGTTTTGTTCAGCTCATTCCAGTTAGCATAAGGGCCCGATCAGTAAGAAACAGTGTGTGAGGTGATTGGTCCGGGCCCTCCCAGTTGGAAATGACTGAAAAGCGACGACAGGGTGAGTTATGTTTGGGATTTACCCATCGTCCACAAATAATATCCTACAACCACTTGTAATTACAAATTGTGAAGCACATGAGGGCAGCATTGCCTCTTCAATCACACGCCTCTCTAAATCACTTTTTATTACCTAAAACACTCGCCAGAGGTCTGTGTGTGTGTGTGTGTGTGTGTGTGTGTGTGTGTGTGTGTGTGTGTGTGTGTGTGTGTGTGTGTGTGTGCGCCTGCACTTGCCAGTTGTTGATGCAGATAAGCACAGGGATCACACTTGACCCTGAGTGTAATGACTTATAAGCGTAGCTGCAGGGTTAAGAGAGGCGCAGGCTGAAGGAGGGCTAATTGAGCAATCTGTGTGTGTGTGTGTGTGTGTGTGTGTGTGTGTGTGTGTGTGTGTGTGTGTGTGTGTGTGTGTGTGGTGGCGCCATTGGGTGTTCTGACCTGCTCTGACTCGACAGTGTGCTCGGTTAATGGTGCCTGACCTGACAAATGCAGGGTTTGTAACGAGTGAAGCCCCAAAACAACTCCGCAGCAGAACAGAGACATGTTACAGTCATTTCCCAGAAAAGTATTCAACTTTTGGCAACACATATGCCAATTATAATGTTTCAAACACTATAAATACATTGCTCGAGGTCTGGAGGGAAACAGATCCGAGTAATAATGAGGATTAACTGTCGGAAAATGGAATGAGCCCATCTGCCTATGAAAACGACAGTTCATTTTATGTACAAATGTTAGTATAAACAATATTGTTTTTTATAAAGACCAAAGTCTTTTTACAAAACCGACTTAATTTGTAAGCCTTTTTATTTCTTAATATTCATTTTGTGGGCTTTTTGTCTTCAGTTTTCAGATTATCCGAAGATATATGTCTTCATGTTACAACAAAACAAAGTATATCATATTTTCTCCAAGACAACAAAATCATACAATTATTTACATTTCCTCACATATGAAGGTGTGTGAAAAAGCTATTTATGATGGGTTTTATTGTGGAGGAACAATAAGCAATTATAATAATTATAATAATACACTTTTATAATGAAATACAGAACATTAAAACATGTAGGGCATTTTAATTGTCAGCTTCACAAAGTTGAACATCTGGGAAAAAACTGCCACAAACTCCAGGGTTTTTGTGGGGGAACAATATTATAACCTTTTTTAATTACATAGAAAATGGAACAAACTCCTAAAATGAAAAAGGGACATTTAGGAAGATAGGGAATTGGAAATGTCACCTCCAAAAAGATGAGAATCTGTGGGAAATAGCCCTCATATAACCAGGATCTTTGTGGATTAACAATATTATAACCCTTTAACCCTCCTATTGTCTTCATGTCCCCCCCCCCCCCCCCCCCCCCCCCCCCCCCCCCCCCCCGCTTACTTTGGTGTTCGTGGTCAAATTTGACCGGTCCTGTTTTAACTGCTGTTACATTAACACAATAACTATTAATCATCACCACATTTAATACCCTTTCAAACTGTACATATTGTATCAGAGTACTGGCATACGTGAACAACTGCAGTAAATATACAGAGAACAGACACTGAACATGTATTGGTGTGCCAGGTGTGATCCATGTGGGGGATGGGCACATAAGAGCGGGAAATGTGTCAAATTGTTCTGTGTGTGTGTGTGGGGGGTGTGTGGGTGTGTGTGTGTGTGTATGGGTGTGGGTGTGTGTGTGTGTGTGTGTGTGTGTATGGGTGTGGGTGTGTGTGTGCGTGTGTGTGTGTGTGTGTTTTATCTGATCCGGATGGTTACTAATTCCTGGGAGCGGGAACACCATGGTGTTACAAAGTTCACTAAATCATCCAAAATTCAATGAAAGTGTTGATCAGCAATGTTATATGTTCAAATGTCTACTGTGAAGGATATCATGAAGCTTTAATGCAATCGAATGTAAATCAAAAACGTTATGATTGATGAAAGTAGTAAATCGGTCAGATTTGACCCGAAGACAACAGGAGGGTTAAACTACATAAATGTGAGAATAAACTTCCATAACTATAATGAAATAGGAACCTTTAATAGGAAGATAGGACATTAGGACTTTCACCTCCAAAACTGTAGAA